GCTGTTACTCCCCGTGGACCTACCCTTCACTTCAAAGTCGAGAACTATTCGCTGTGCAAGGATGTTGAGAGATCGATGAAGCGCCCCAAAAGTGGCGGACAAGACCACAAGACACCGCCCCTCTTGGTCATGAACAACTTCACCACACCAGGCGCAACCGAAGATTCTAAAGTGCCGAAGCGGCTCGAGACCCTCACAACTACGATCTTCCAATCCCTCTTCCCTCCCATCAACCCCCAAACCCAGCCTCTATCTTCCATCCGCCGTGTCATGCTTCTCAACCGAGAGCCTGCCGAAAAAGACAGCGACTCGTATATCTTGACTCTCCGTCACTACGCCATTGCCACGAAGAAGACCGGTATATCGAAACGAATCCGTCGCCTGGACCCCAAAGAGATTCGGAACCGGGACAAGAAGAAGACCGCCGTTCCTAACCTTGGAAAGCTCGAAGATGCCGCTGATTACCTGCTTGACCCCTCCGCTGCAGGCTACACATCAGCAAGTGAGACCGAGCTAGACACCGATGCCGAAGTGGAAGTTCAAGAGAGCACGACCCGCCGAGTCCTAAACAAGCGTGAAATGCAGCGCCAAAAGGCTGCAGATAAGGGCCAGGATAAGCCAGCCCAGACCACCGGTGTTGAGAAGCGGGCTGTAAAGCTCGTAGAGCTGGGTCCTCGCTTGCGCCTTCGCTTGATGAAGGTTGAGGATGGAGTCTGCGATGGCAAGATCATGTGGCATGACTTCATTACGAAATCCGAGAAGGAGGTGCGGAATATGGACCAGAGCTGGGCCGTTCGGAGGAAGGAGAAAGAGCAGAGAAAGAAGCTGCAGAAGGCGAACATTGAGCGCAAGAAGCAGGAGAAGGCCAAGGCCAGGGGCAGTGGCAAAGAAGCAGCCGAGGAGGACGAGGACGAGGAAATGGATGATGAAGATTGGCTCAGCGATGATGACTTTGACAAGGACGCTGAAGGTGAGGGTGAAGCGGCAGATGACGACTCTGAAGCCGATTCGGACGAGTCTATGGAGGAGTAAATGGCTGCTTCGAGTCATCACACCACACCTTTCCGAAAGCTTCTACTTGATCGCTTGGTAAACAGCCGGCTCTTGCGATTGAACAAACCCAAGAAGTCAAACCGTGCCGGCTTGTCTATCACACTAGTGGACTGTATCAAAAATGATCACCGTCTTCACGTCTTATCCATGTCATATGGACCAAAATTTTCTTGTCACTGTCACATACCCGATAGGCATATAGGCGTTTTTCAGGTTTTGTCTTCATATAATGCAGTCTTGCAAATTCATCCATCATCCTCCATCCTTAAATTGAACTTAGTAATGCTTTTGATCCGATCAGAGAGTCGCTGTGCTGTCTGTCGAACTATCCAACCTCGACGATGAGTATAGACCCTAAGACTATAGAATGATCTCAATACTTGCATATACTTGCGGGCTTTATGCTTTTCTGCTTTCACTAATCGAATTTCTAGATGTATGCCTTGTATTCGCTATAATCAAAGGATGTTGGAAATGTACCGATTAGTTCATTCTAGGACATAGAAAGCTAAAAATGACTCATTTTTTCTTGTCCTGGCCGAATATTGCAATGAAGTCAAGTTGCGGAGATTCGGTATTCGTATCTCTGATCTATTTCTTGAGTCTTTCATCGACGATCCTGTTCACCATCTTCTCCAAGATAGCGAAATCTCCACCAGAGGTTCCAGCAAAGTATCCCTGCACGCTCTTCTCAACATACTTGCCCACGATATCAATCTCAACATTAACAAAGTCACCGGGCTTTTTCGCCGCAGTGACCACCTTATCCTGTGTATAGGCAATAAGCATAACCTCCCAGTATCCATCCTGCCCATCGACGACCTTGGTGACAGTCAAGCTAGCACCATCAAGGGTCACATAGCCCTTTTCCACAACATAGCGCAGAATATCTCTCTCGCGCGGCTGCAGTCGGAACACCAACGAGTTTCCATCCGGCGTAACAGACAGAATCTCCGCAACGGTATCGACATGACCTTGCACAAAATGTCCTCCCATCCGGGTATCGGCTGAAACGGCGCGCTCGAGGTTCACGTGGGAATTCGTCTGCAAAGAACCCAGGTTTGTGCGTCGCAGTGTCTCTGGCGCACAGCCAACCTTGAACCAGGTCTTATCGAATGCAGTGACCGTAAGACATGTTCCTTGAGCCCACTTTTAGACAATATCCCATGTGTTATAGACAACGAAAGAGTAAAATACCATTCACTGCGATACTATCGCCCAGGTGTGCGTCGGTGAGGATCTCCTCACAGTCGGAGATGGTGAGTGACGTTCCCCCGCCCCCGCTCGATGAGGTGTCAATAGGCTCCAAGGCCGTGACAGCTAGTAAAACCACGTTAGCGATTGACTCACGTTACAAAGAGAAAGATATCCTCACTCCCAATCGTTTCGACAAGACCTGTAAACATAGCTGCGGTTGATGATCTACAAGGAAAATGCTCCGTGTGCCCTCGGCGTCAGCCCCTCCGAGCGGTGTCGGCGTCGGCGTTTTGGCGGAGATTCGCCGGTTTCCCCAGAATTCATTTAACGGGGATTCTTGTTTGAGCGTCATTTTTTTGTTTCGCTCCGCTCTTCGTATATATCATCATGACGGTTGCGCTCAGATTCCAGGTTGCTGCCCGTCGATCCGGCTTGTCCTGGGGTAGCAATGCCTTGCGGCGCACGGTGCCAGGACGAAGCTACTCCAGTGCAGCTTCGGTCGATGGTTCGCTACCTTTGGCTGGTATCCGGGTGCTTGATATGACACGCGTTTTGGCTGGTGTGAGTCCATCTCTTGATAGGCTGTGTAATTCAAGCTGACGCTTTTAGCCTTACTGTACTCAAATTATGGGTGATTTAGGGTATGTATCAACCTTCGGAGCTATGAAACAGCTCCAATTGGTGATCCTATGATATTGACAAGACGAAATACAGAGCGGAAGTTATCAAGGTCGAACACCCTGTGCGCGGCGACGATACTCGTGCTTGGGGTCCGCCATATGCAAAGTACGAAGATGCTTCCAGAAAGGGCCCTGGCGAGAGCGCTTACTACCTAGCTGTACGAGCCTTCTCTCGAAGCTATATAAAAATTATCATAGCACTGATCAGAGATATAGGTCAACCGGAATAAGAAATCCCTCGGTCTATCCTTTCAACACAAGTCAGGCGTCGAGATTCTACACAAGCTTGCAAAGGAATGCGATGTCCTAGTCGAAAACTATCTCCCAGGGGGGCTCAAAAAATACGGCATGGACTATGAAACTCTGCGGGAAATAAACCCAAAATTGATCTATGCCAGTATCACCGGATATGGCCAGACAGGCCCGTATAGCAACCGTGCAGGCTACGACGTTATGGTAGAAGCTGAGATGGGATTGATGCACATTACCGGTTCTCGGGATGGTGCACCAGTAAAGGTTGGTGTTGCTGTTACCGATCTGACTACCGGATTATACACATCGAATGCCATCATGGCGGCTTTGATTGCTCGGGGTCGGACTGGTAGAGGTCAGCACATCGATGCCTGTTTGAGTGATTGCCAAGTCGCTACGCTATCGAACCTGGCTAGCTCTGCGCTTATCAGTGGGCAAAAGGATTCCGGCCGTTGGGGCACAGCACACCGTAAGCAGCGAACATTCTCCTGGGTATAATACCCAAACTAACACCTCCCAGCATCCATTGTACCCTACCGGAGCTACAAGACCAGCGACGGAGATATTCTCTTCGGTGGTGGCAATGATAGGCTTTTTGGCGTGTTGTGTGATCGACTAGGCTTTTCCGAGTGGAAGACGGACGCCCGCTTCGTCACTAACAGTGGCCGGGTGCAGCACCGTGCGGAGATCGACGGTATGATTGAAAGCACCACCGTGCAGAAGACCACGCAGGAGTGGTTGGATATCTTTGAAGGCAGCGGTATGCCCTATGCGGCTGTCAACGACATTCAGGGAACCCTGAATCACAAACATGGTAAGTCTGCGTATTTCCTTTACATGTGATATAAACAGCACTGACGTTACGAACAGTTTTGGCACGAGGCATGGTGACGGAAATTGACCATCCTGCATGTGGTCCCATCAAGATGGTCAACACCCCTATCAAGTACTCCGAAGCGACGCCCGGTATCCGCACGCCTCCTCCTACTTTGGGCCAACATACAGATGAGATTTTGGGTAATGTCCTCGGTTATGGGGAGGCGGATATCGCTCGCATGAAGAATGAGGGGGTCATATCCTAAACCTTGAATAATCTATGAGAACCATGAACGACACCTCCCGAAACCTGTATATAAGAAAACTGGAAATCACAGCCATTCCAAGTTACCCTCGGTTCTTCTGGCGTCTTTTAATCCTTTTTGGTCATCTCTCTTACATGCATACGCTCATGGGCTTTCCTTGGGCAATTCTGCTAGTTTCTGTTTAGAAGGAAAACAAGATTAAAGATGATTAAGAAATCTACAATATGAATCATTACTTGCTAGGTTATTTCGGTCGTAAGTTCCCGTAGTATATTGAGACGATTCCTTCTTCATATAGAACCTACCAGATCCGCATAAGAGATAACGAAACAGCTTTGATGACGAATGAAAGCATCAAAATCTACAATTAAATTAATAAGATCCTCACATTAGGCGAAATACGTCAGTAAACGACCGACGACAGACATTTAAGGTTGTATTGGAACATCACGTGATCCATATACAAAGGCTTTCATTCGACGACTTCAATCCAACCCTACTTCCAATTGAAGAATTGAGAGGAGCCAACTATGTTCGACTGCCCACTCGGCAAACACTACAGTGTCTATTTTGATTTGCAGTAGGCTGAAAGACTCGGATTGCCCTAGAAGAACACAAATAGTGCCTCTATCACCTGTTGCTCTATTCTCTTCTTTCGCTCCCAAGTTCAACTAATTTTCCAAGAGAACGTCGGCCAATACCTCTTTGAAAATACTTATTCGAAAGGAAGCTCACTATGAGGGTCTCATCGGAATTCATGGACCTCCCTGCTCCCGATATCAATCCGGAGCGCCCCCAAAACGTCTATGAGGGCAACATATTTGACCATGAAAGCGTCTCCGAGGCGATCCAACCACTGTCATCACACCCGGAACTTATGGCTGACAATTTATCCTGGGGAATTTGGGGATCACCAGCACCGCCTCAGGAAGAGGCCGTTTGGACAACAGCTGGGGCTACGGAAACGGATAGAAATGCCAGCACTGCCCTAGATTCAAATCGAACTCGATCTGGCCGCCGTATTACTCAACCAACTGTTCGACAAGCTGAGCCTGTGACAATCAAAGGGCCTGTCAAAGTGGCAGCTAAAAAGCGGAAGCGTCCGAACCGCCAGGTCAATATAGTTTGTACCGCCTGTTACAGAGGACACAGCCCCTCGAACAATTTGATTGTTCTATGTGACTCATGTGATGCTCCGTGGCATCAGAAATGCCACAGTCCAAACATTCATAATGAGGTTATCGAAATTTCGGAGATGAATTGGTTTTGCATCAAGTGTAAACCTGAGCAACGTCAGGCAGCCCAGACCAAATATCAAAAGAATGGTGCAACGAAATTGAAAAAAGTCGAACGACCGAAGAAGCAGCCTGTGTCTGAACCTCAAATTGGTGGAAATTATTATCCAGAGGAGGAACGACGGGCGTATCTGTCATCTCTTTCGCATGATTCGCTAGTCAAGCTTATAGTGAGAGTCTCAAACGAGTGGCCGTCGGTTCCTATGTTTCCCCGGGACATGCAACCCGTGACAGATTTCACTCTGTCACCTTCTGCGACACCACACAATAATCGGGTTTCCAAACCTACACTGAAGGAAAACGTTCGTTCTGCATTACTTGATTGGGAAAATCAGGAACCATCATTCAAGAACGCTAGCGACATGGGTTTAAACCAACAGATCGGCAAGAATTCTAATACCGCAGCCCCCAATGCTACTTCCATGAATCCCGAAGAACTCTTTGCTGCAATGGTTTCCGATACGGCTCCCAATCCTGCTTCCCCGGCGGCTCTTGGTGGCATCGCTGCGGGCCAGGTTTCCACCGGAATTCCTCACACGCATGCTTCCACAACTGCTCCCCAGACTACAACAACAACTTCCCAGACGCCTTCCAGAGCCACGCGCAGATTTACATCGCATGCTGCGCCTGCAGGTGCACGTGCTCGCAAGGCCTCTTTCGTTTCTTCGAACTCTGACCTGCTCACCGACGACGAGTCATCATACTCCCAATCCCCCACTCCGTCTCCATCTCAGTCCTCACAAGTTGGATCCCAGCATGAATCGGATTATGACCCTGGAGATTACCGCGCCTACCCCGAAGCTGGTCAAGGCTTCCAGGTGCCGTCGACCCCGAGCGATCTTGACATCATGGCTGAGGATAAGAATTGCCTTACCTTCAGTCATTCTATCCGGGGCTCAGCGAAGCAGGCTCAGAATAAGAAGCCTTCTTCGGCGTATGCAGTGGTGATTGATCCCGATCTTGTTCTGGTTTAAGTCGGAGGTGCACTGTCTAACACAATCATGGGGAGTTTCGTGGATTTACGATGACCCTTTTTCGTCAAGAATAGAACGAACGAGGGATGCTCGATATGATCAAATATGTTTCGTGAATCTGACTTTCTTTTTCGATATCTTATGTCTTTCTTCATGTCCTCAGCTATAACAATTTCGTCCTTATGGCGTGATGCTCTACAGGTTCTGTATGGTTTCTTACGCCTTCGTATTTTCGTCTCCAAAAGATAGATCCTTGACTACACCCTAATAGACCAGTCTTTCTCTACATTTTTTCTTTCTATTCTAATCTTCTCTCGTCTCTTTCATACCAGGGGCTGTCTTACGTTGTCTTCAAATGTTTCCATGTAGCTCTGGCATAAACCTGACGGCACCTTCCCAATCAGGTGCCTTCCCTTTTGGTCAAAACTCGTGACCCATCGTGGTTTCCCCGTCGACCTGAGTCACAGCCTGTACGGTATAAATACCTGCCTCCTCCCACTTTCTTCCTTCTTTCTTCCTTCTTCACACTACCACTCCAGGTCCACATTGCACATCGTAGCCCCTAATGAGTGTGTTTTTTTAACCGTTGACCCGTCACCCAGCTCCAGATTCGTATTTAACATATGTCTGCTGTTGTCTGGCGATCGGTGTTATCCTTGGCTCTGGCGGGTCTCTGTAGGCGGCCTAGGCTAGGCTGCGAATGGCACGAAGCATGTACATGCGGGCTACCGACTGGCGATCTTTGGATACCTGAGGGGCTTTGCTATGATCTCTGCGGATACAGACTGTACGTGTCTGGTGCTCCCGTTGTCCGCCATATAAAGGGGCTCTGCTCTCATCTCCTTTGTTCCAATTTTTGGAACTTTTATACAAAGATAGCTAGAACTTTCTATTCATGTTGTGAGCTTTTATAGAGCGGTACCGAGTCTTAGCATATATTCCTTAGCAGTGGGTCATGAAAGGCACCGGGATAGATCCAGTGAGAATGAAACATTTTCTGGATTTTAGCCAACATTTTTGAACGAATAGTGAATTTCATAGACAAACCCAGCTTGGCCAACCAATTCCTAGTTCATCACTCTGTAGATTTGGGTCTCCAGATACTTGTCTGTCTTCCTTTTTCTTTTTACAAGACAGAATTATATAGATCGTCTTATCTCTTATCAGCCCCGCAAAACCAAACGCGTCTGGAATCTCCCCAGGTTGTCTCATTGCACATCCCCGACATCCAATCTCCAGCCAGAATTATTGCCAAAGCAGACATTGCAATGTCATCTTCAAATCCTCAAGTTCTAAAAACAACAGCCAAACCACCCCAGACAACTCCCGGCTCGACCAATCCACACACCAGCCTCCTGACAATCGACATCCTAACAAGCATCCTCTCCAAATCACTACTCAACCCTTTCATAGCCTGGATTTTCGTCCTCTGCCTACGCGCCCATGTAACCCCATCAACAGATCCAGCCTGGATCCTCGCTGTAAGCTATGCAACGGCCATGACAGTCCTCTTCGTCGTGCGAATTATCAACCAGCGCGCCGCCTACGGCGCCCCGCGAAAAGTCGATTTCGAGCATGAGGTCGTGGTCATCACTGGCGGGGCGAGTGGGCTAGGTCTGCTAATTGTGCAAATGTATAGCATGCGCGGGGCGAGTGTCGCTGTGCTGGATATTAAAGATGTTCCGGAAAAAGGCCGCGATGAGGTCTTTGGGGAGGGCGTTTTGTATATTACGTGTGACGTCGCGGATAGACGTGCTTTAGAAGTTGCGAGGGAGAGGATTTTGCAAGAGGTAGGTTTTGCTTTTTTACTTTTGTTTTCGTTGTGACCTTCGATCCCATATCATCCTACTATTACTGCGGTTCTAGTGATTTGAATATTTGGATAAGGTGTTTTCATAGCGCGTTATGGCTTGCTTCAATTGGGGTCTGATTCGCTAAAAATCTTGCAGTTAGGAACACCGACGATCGTTATCAACTGTGCCGCGGCCAGGATCAACGGTCTCTCGCTGCTTGATCTGCCAGCGGACGCATTCGAGAAGACAATCCGCACCAATCTCCTAGCGGCTTTCCATCTGTACCAAGTCTTCTTGCCTGGGATCATCGCAGCAAAGAGTGGAGGAACTCTTGTCACAGTCAGCTCCGTGCTGGGCCAACTGAGTGCCGCGGGACTGTCAGACTACGCAGCGAGCAAAGCAGGACTTAGCGCGCTGCATCGGACGATAGAAGCGGAAGTTCGGGTTAACCCGTTGATCAAGACATTGCTAGTGGAAGTTGGTCAGATGTCGACGCCGTTGTTCGACTGGGTGCGTGCGCCGAATCATTTCTTTGCGCCAATCCTGGAACCCGTCGAAGTTGCCCGGGAGATGGTGGCAGCGATTGATAGCGGTCGAGGTGGTGTGATCAGGTTGCCTTTTTATGCAAAGCTCGTGAATTGGTATGCCGTGCTACCCGCTACGGTGCAGCGGGTTGCGAGATATCTGAGTGGGATAGATGCTGCTGTTACGCAAAGCCGGCAGACATCTGGGAAGACATATTGATAGGTGGCTCAAATAGAGCTGAGCGGTGTATATTGGCATGAATCATGAAAAGGGACCCTTGTATAGGTCCAAGCAGGGTGGATTATAAAGCAGAACGATCTGCTTCATTGAAAATTTCCCCATTCGACCATAGTTTCGATTGCAAGTCTTGCGGCCGAGCCTGGTCGAATCGAGTGGATCGATTTATTGCTCGCTGGCCAGAATCATCTTCTCACGCTCATGTGTTCTCGGCGCCAGGTTAGTCTTCTTAGTATGCTTGCGCACATTCTCCTCGCGCCTCTTAATAGCATTGAGCTCCTCGCGCTTGATTTCACCAGCCTTCTTGATCGGCTTGGGCACATGACGCTGGCGCTTGATGCGGCGAATTTGAGGCATGTGCGAGTACCGCTGGATCAGAGCTTGATCGTACTCTAGCTTGGAACGCTGACGGGCAGTCTTGACTCCACTGCGATCCGATGCCTTGGCACGCCAGAGACGAACATTGCCATCGTCCGATCCTGTCAAGACATACCTGTTGTCAGGCGTGAATGTTGCCGAGAAAACACGTTGCATCCGCTTTGTGTGGTAGATGTCACGCGAGTGACCAGTTGATCTGTTCCATAGGCGGATTGTCCGATCGTATGAGGCAGTGACCAGCTCTTCACCCGTGGGACTGAAATCAACATCCATAACAGCAGCCACATGGTCCTTCAGGACATTGAGAGCACGGTCCATCTTTCTCATATCGAAGATGTAGGCGTTGTGATCCTCGTTCGCCACGGCAAAGTTGAATGCTTCCATTGGGTTCCAAGAAATGGCGTTAGATGCTAGTCTCAATGTCGTCTTGTGCACCGGCTGGGAAGTGCGCAGGTCGTACATAATGACTGAGCGGTCCATAGCAGTTGAAGCCAGGATAGAAGTCTCAGTCTGGTTGAATGCAACCGATGTGATGGTGTCAACGCTGGTCGGCCAGTGCATAGTCTGCGATGGTGTGGATGACGGCCGGGAAAGGTCATAGATAGAGATGACACCAGAAGCCGCAGCAAAAGAAGGGAGGCTCCGATGATGCGTGACACTGGTGAAGGCACTATTTCCGAGATAGGTTGCCATCGGTGGGGCCTCAGATGATGAGTTGTATGGATCCCACAATTTAATCGTCTTGTCACTCGCGCATGACAGAAGTTTTCGCTCCGGCGTCCAACACAAACCCTTGACCATGTTTTCATGACCTTGGGTATTCCAAACCTCGCCCTGCGTCGTTAGATCCCACACCTTCACCACACCATCACCACTGCCACTTGCAAAGCGTTCAAGTGAGCCGGGGTCCTTTGCCATAGAGTAAACACCGTCAACGTGTCCGTTACCCATCTGGGCTAAGAAAGGAGCAGCAAACATGCGCTCCATCTTGATCGCATTCAGAGCTCGAGTATATTCACGAGCCCGCTCAAAAGGATGTTGAGTCGGGTCGAGATTCCGCGACTGGCGAACGACAGCGGACCCGGGGGCCTGTTGCGACGCCGTGGAGCGGGAGAGTGCTTTGATTTTCTATAATCCATTAGCATGGCTATCCAAAAGACATAATTTCAAAGAAAAATACCCACCATAGTGCCGTTGTGAAAACGAAGTAGAAAAGAAAAGAAAAATGCCAAGAGCGAACTTTTTTTCTGTTTGATTTGCCAAGCGGGCGGTGAGAGGACAGCGAGCTGCCGCCAGCTTCGAGCTCCCCATTCGACCTGATCATCAACCTCTCTTCAAACCACCATCTTCTATTGTTCTCCTTTCCTTTAATTCTCTATCTCCCTCACTCGCCATTTGCCGTCTTTTATCATGTCATCCAAGGTCTCGCCACGGATCCAAGAAGTTCGAGATCTGGTGAAGGAGGATCCCTCGAAAGCAGCGACCAGTTACCAGAAGATTCTCTCAGAGGGCCCCGGATCTACAGAGGCATCTTCACGAGACTACGAACATGCCTTGATTGGGCTGGGCGAGTTGCATCGGGATGCGAAGAAGCCACAGGAGATCGCGGACCTCATCAAGACCAGCCGTGATACCTTCTCGTCATTTGCCAAAGCGAAAACAGCCAAGCTAGGTAAGTTGCGCGCTAAATTACTTCTATGGAAATAGCCTAACTGTGATTATTCAGTCCGTCAACTTCTGGACCTGATTAGCGAAATCCCCAACACACTCGAACTCCAAGGCAACGTCATCCAATCATGCATAGAATGGGCTATTTCCGAGCGGCGATCGTTCCTCCGCCAGGCCCTCGAAGCCCGACTCGTTGCAATCTATATGCAGAAGCAATCCTATTACGATGCGCTCACTCTTATCAACTCTCTTCTCCGTGAGCTGAAGCGCCTGGATGATAAGCTTATGCTGGTGGAAGTACAACTGCTCGAGTCGCGTGTGTACCACGCTCTGGGCAACCAGGCCAAGGCACGCGCAGCTCTGACAGCTGCACGGACGTCGGCCGCCTCCGTTTACACGCCACCGAACCTGCAGGCCGGTCTGGATATGCAAAGTGGCATGCTGCACGCCGAAGACAAGGATTTCACCACTTCATACTCCTATTTCATTGAAGCGCTTGAGGGGTACAGCTCGCTCGATGAGAGCGACCTGGCCACGGCGACATTGCAGTACATGCTTCTGTGCAAAATCATGCTGAACCTGGTGGATGATGTCACACAGCTACAAGGCTCGAAACAAGCGCAAAAGTATGCCAGTCCACGCCTGGAGGCAATGAAGGCCGTGGCACGGGCCCACGCCAACCGGTCTTTGGAGGAGTATGAGAAGGCTCTTTCGGACTACAGATTCGAACTGGGCAGCGATGTATTCATCCGAAACCACCTCCGTCGTCTTTACGATGCAATGCTGGAACAAAACTTGATCAAGGTCATTGAACCCTTCAGCCGGGTCGAGCTGGACCACATTGCGAAGATGGTGGGTTTGGACACACAGCAGGTGGAAAGGAAGCTGTCTCAGATGATCTTGGACAAGGTGATCATCGGTGTATTGGACCAGGGCTCGGGATGTCTGATTGTGTACGATGAGACAGAACGGGATCAAGCTTACGATGCCGCACTAGAGACCATTGAAAAGCTCGGCAATGTGGTGGAAGGTCTGTATACTAACCAGGCGTCTCTCCTGGAATAGAAAAGATGGGAAATGTCCAATGCAGTTGAGACAATGACTTGATAGGAAATAATCAAGACAATGCACGATCACATCAATAATTACCCTTAGATCTGCGCGTAATTAGTACTTAACATGTGAACTACATCTTATATGTCTAGCTCCTAATTATTCATCAAATCTCAACTGCAAAATTTCATGTAGAACAATGACTTTTCTCCTCTCGACGGTGTTATTCGCGAGTGTCCGAAAAGGGTAAAGCGCGACGGGCAAAAGAATCGCGACCTCGCATCTCCACCATCTCGCATCTTTTCCCCCCATCCATATCCTCCCAGCACCGTTTTGTTGCTTGATTTCTCCACAATGCAAGCTCCAATGCAGCAACATTATGCTCGGGCCATGCCCTCAAATGTACAGCGATCTCCAGCCGCGCCCCGTCGCCCCCCAGGGCCAGGTATGTCCCCTTTCATCTGTCTCCACTCATTCGTCTCGGCTCTAACCTTCCGTCTCTATAGGTGGCGCAATGCCTGTTCCGATGCCACAACACGCTGTTGCCCAACAGTACATGGCATCGCGTCCTATGCCCCACCCGAATGATGCTGCCCTTCGGCGCAGCCGCAAGCCGACCGACAGGAACCTCCCCGACGGCATTGAAGATGTGATCATCGGCGAGGGTGTTCAGCAATATAAAAACCTCCGCGATTTGGAAAAGCGATTGGATGCTGCTGTTGTTCGGAAGAGGCTGGATATCCAAGACTCTATCAACAAAACCGTCAAGAAGTATCGGACTATGCGCATCTGGATCTCTAATACTGTCGAAAACCAGCCATGGCAAGGCCCGGGCAACAACCCAGGCTCCGGCCGCTACAAGGTACGCATCGAAGGACGACTGTTGGACGATGAAACCGACCCTACGGTTCCCGATGAGGATGAGAAAGATGAAGATGCGATGGACCACGACGGGGCCGAGGAGGATAAGGGAAAGAAATCCGAATCCAAGAGACAGTCCCAGCGCTTCTCCCATTTCTTCAAGGCTATCACCATCGACTTTGATAAGCCCGTCTCGGCAATCCCCGAGGAGGTTAAGCCGGTTAACTGGTCCAAACCCAACACACACCCCAACACACCAGCGCCCCAAGGTGCCGAATTTGATAGTCTACAGTTCTCCCGAGCCTCGCAGGACAATCTGAATGTCACCATCAGCCTTGTCCGGGACGAAGTTCCAGAGCGATACAAGCTGAGCAAGGAGTTGGCCGAGGTTCTAGATGTCGAAGAGGAGACCCGGAGTGGAATTGTTCTCGGAATCTGGGATTACATCCGAGCCATGGAATTGCAAGAAGACGAGGAGAAGCGACAAGTGCGCTGTGATCACCGTCTACGCTCGGTATGTACTTTGAATGTCTGGTGTTTCTAGTATCCGCTAACAAGCTCTGTAGATCTTTGGCCGGGAGCAAATGTTTTTCCCCCAGATTCCTGAAAGCATCGGTCCTCACACCAGCCCTATGGAACCAATCAAGCTTCCCTACACCATTCGCGTCGATGAAGAGTTCCACAGTGACCCAACCCCGACCATCTACGATATCCAGGTCGCAGTTGATGACCCGCTGCGCACCAAGATGATGGCTCTCACTCAGAACCCAGCGTACACAAGTGGCCTACGCCAGATATCCTCGCTTGATGACCAAGTTGCTTTGATTGTCCAGGCCCTTACACACTCCCGTGCTCGCCACTCATTCTACACTGCTCTGAGCAAGGACCCAGCCAATTTTGTTCGTCGCTGGATCAGCTCTCAGCGCCGCGACCTCGAGACTATCATGGGTGAAGCTACCCGTGGAGGCGGCGAGGATGGTAGCGGACCTGAGTTCAGTTATGGCGGCGTTGACGGCCCGTGGGACTCTGAGGTTGCTAAGGAAGCTGTGCGGTACATGCTGGCTAAACCCGAAGCTGCGGCTGCTCGGTAAATATCCTGCTTGTCCTTTTCGTTTAAAGTCGCATATTCACACTGCCAACCATTACGAAATGAAGATGGGTTGATGTATTCTTTTTTTAATCTGATATAGGGCGCTTGTGTGGTGTTCGGACTGGTGTAGCCGGGGTATGACAGGCAGGAATTGTTTTGAAATCTGTATTCTAAGAATCCGATATTATCCAATATGATTCCGGATTTATTTCAATAATTGTTTGAATAATAGAGCCATCACGCCAGGCGTTGTTGTGTCTCTGGACCAGTATAGAAGAGGTCGGACCAATTTCAAGGGAAAGCAACATAGAAAGGAGTCACAAACATCTCAATCAATCATAAAGCAAGCATGGACAAAAGAGGGAAGAAGACTTCACAGCACTCAAAGACACATAGATTATAAATAACAACCTAAAGTCCCATCCAAACCTCAAGCACCAGGCAAAGGAAGCTTCGCGACAAGCTCTGCTCTCCGTTTCCGCAACTCCTCCCCGAGACCTGAGTCCACACTTGAAGAGATCTTTTCATGCAACGAGGAAAGCTCATCCTGCAAAATAGCGGTCTCCTGCTGCTCCAGCTTGGAAGCCGCCTCGAGGACAACATCATGCACAATATCCTCCTTGAGCTGCGCATCCTTCTCTGCGCTAACAGGCTCTTTCGTCCCCTTCTTCATGCCAGCAGCATCAGCCGGAGTGCGGAAACGCTTGAGAACAGTCTCGACCATCTTGGAAAACCAGTAGAAGTTCAAGAAGTTCAAGATCAAGTTCGATCCGACGTAGGTCACGACCAGCCACGTTGGTACACCTCCCGCGGTATGCTCCTTGAACTTGGTGATCTCGGCATTGGCGCGCGCGCAGGCTTCGTTGACACACAATCTACCATCGCGGGCTGGGTAGAAGACATGTGCGTTGATGCTCACGGGTTCAGAGAGTGGGGCTGCAGCTGCAGACCAGGTTTGCTGAAGCGCATTCCACATGTCCATGTACACAATGACGGTTTGCCAGCTGCCCCAGACGAGGCGGCAGGCGAAGAAGCTGAAGAGCAAAGCCATGCCGTTATACCATTGGGCGCGGCTGCCGGTCATGTTGACTTTGTCGAGAAACCAGTGGATATTAAGGAATGGGCTGGAGAGCTCATAGAGGATGAAGGTCGGAGCGAAGTAGTTTAGGAATGGTCTCTGCGGAAACTATGTTAGATGTTTCTCGATTTTAAAAAATGAAAACGCATTTATGCTGATCTTCTTGATACTGAATGTACCTATATCAGGCAGATTGGAGACGCAACTTACAAAGCCTAGACTAAACACCCACAAGGCGCTGACAGCGTGGAAAAGCATTCCAAGGCCAAACATGCGCACATGCACAATGCTGACAATCAGGTCATATACGAAGTATCCCACGGCCAAAGCCTGAATAAGTCCACAGGCACCTGTATACGCGAAGACCCGCTCACCGGAGGTCATGGAGCTGCGCTCCTTGTCGAAGAACATGACCCACAGGGCGGCAACGTTAATGACAATGCTCTGAACAAAAGAGACAGCATGGATATCCCAGTTCAGCTTCGTCCGAGGAGTGAGCTTGTTGTAAGACTGAGGAAAGAGGATTGGCGAGAGCCGGGGTGAGAGAACTGTATGGATGAACAGGTAGAAGGCAAACGCTGCGATAACCTCGTGGATATGGTCGGCAAGTGTCGGGCAGTTCAACCGGAGGGTATAGGGCTCTACAAAGCTCCGCAGCCATTCCGGAGGCGGTGGGAAAGGGTCCAACATCGTGGGATGTCCCCTCAACCAGCTGTGATCACCCGATGTGGGGGAAAGCTCCTTGAGGTTCGGAGGTCGGAATGTAGATCTATATGCGGTTGAGAGGGCACCCTATCCTGTCTATCAGGAAGAAATGGAAAAGGGAAAAGAAAAACTGGAAATGGAAATGGAAACAAAGGAAAGCCCAATAACCATGAATAGGGGAGAAATATGTAGCTCCATCCGAGAATGGAGTAGAGAGATGACCAGGTGAAGCTGGCCTCGGCATAGCCTCAGGCAGCAATGATTTGTTGGGAGTCACCTGATCACCTGCCTTATTCGTTGGGTCGGGCTTTGTCGACTTGTACAAAGGTGACAGATGATGAAAAAAGGACAATTAGGTCTACAAGGACTAGTCGTTCGAAGGAAGATTTCAAGCAGCTAAAAATATGGTTTGTGATCCAGAACAATACCCGTCAACAAGTGACCACATACATGATACATCTATACAATCGAACTACATCACAGGTGTATTGGAAGAGTACAAAAGAAAATCATCATTAAACAATACACCTTTATGGTCACAAACGAAAGTCATCCAAATCATCCAAGCACTGAAACGCAGAAACAAAAGTGGTATATGAGAAAGAAAGAAAACATTCATGGTGCAAGCGCCCAACTCCATCCAAAACAAAACATATCAATCAAACTGCAACATCAGTGCTGCCACTAGAGGGAGCCAACAGCTTAAGAGCTTCGGCTTCCGCAGCCTCATTAGCCTGCTGGATCTGGCGGGACATTTCGTGATCCTCATTCTGGTCCTCATTCCCAGAATGCTCTCCGTCCTCTCGTGCTGTTTGCGCATCGGAGCCATCGATAGAAATATCATCATGGTAGTCCTCGTGGTCGTGCTCGGCGATTGAGCTCTCCGCCACGTTGTATGAATTCGTGGAGCTCATTCCGCTGACACGGCGTTGATCTGAGGCATCTGTAACTACACTGTCGACGATGCTGCCAGAGTAGCTTGTCTTGCGCTCCGTGCCTGCATTGCTTGCTGCGTAGCTTGTTCGACGGTCAGTGCCAGCGTTGCTCGGTGCATAGCCATGCTCGGTTTCAGTGCCAAGGTCAGATTCTGCGCAGCTCGTCTTCCGGTTGGTAGGTGCGTTACTTTGCACATAACTAGTCTTGCGCTGTGGACCAGCATCTTCCGCTTCGCTGGCTTGCTCGTCCTCTTCGTGGAATGGCTCGTTCTCTTTGTCGACAACAGAAATTGGACCAGCCCAAGAAGTCTTGCGAAGAGAGTTCGATTTGACAGAGTGGCTGCGCTTCAAATTCGTGATGCCAGATTTAGCACTCACCTGTCGGTCCACACCGCGGTTTCCAGTGACATGACTTAAGCTAAGAATCCGACGTTCCTTTCCGATGTTGGGCTGCACAGCAACTTTTCCAGCCTGGAGCGAAGTCGGGGTTCTTTTCAAAGCCATTCCGACACCATTACCAAGCAGACTGCGACTGGGCTCTTTGGCAGTACTAGCAGTGCTCGCCAGACTAGGACTGCGAGCGCCTGTGCGTGAGGAACGGGTACTCCGAGTGCTGCGGTTCCTCTTCAGGTTCATGGCTTGCGAGCCATTGGATCGGCCGAGGAGAATAGTACGAGCATGGTCGAGCACACCCTCCAGGATGCGTTTCTCAAGGCCATCCGCGCGGTCCTCCATCTGCCGCATCTCTTCGTGGCGTATCTCTAGGGCCGTTTCAAGACCGGACAGATCCTTGCTAAGCTTGTTGTTTTGCTTGATCAGGTCTTCCTTTTCTGCTCTTAGGCGATGAATCATGTTCAGCATAGAATCCTTCTCTTCCTGCAAGCCAACGAGCTCCGCTTCCACCTGCTCACGCTGCGAAACTCTTCGTTCAAGAGCAATCGCAGCCTCCTCAGCTTCACGTCGCTTTCGCTCGGTATCTTCAGCGACCAGCACTGACTGGGCAGCGAACATCTCATTCATTCTGCGAGAGTTTTCCATGATATCCCTGTGCATCTCATCCAGCTTCGCCATCTGGGTAGCAGAGTGATCGGATTCCGGCGGATTCGAGGGACGGCTGAGCAGTGCGTCTAGTTTCTCATGAACGGGACCGCTCCCATTAGTGGCACGATCTAACAACTCATTGAGTCTCTCATATATTTGATCATTCGAACCCGCTCCTTGATCAAGAGCACGATCAAGCTTCTCATGGAGTTGGTCATTCTTCGAGTGATCAAGGAGAGTGTTCAAAATCTCGTGGACTTTGTCGTTCTTAGCATGTTCCAAAATATCGTCGAGTTTGCTGTGTAGCGGAGTATCTTCTATGGCAAGTGTACGGTCTGGTTCCGGTGGAAGCAGCGCAGGTAGCATTGCTGGGATACTTGAAGACAATGCGGACAGTTCAGACTTGAAGTCTTCTGCTGATTTCTGGGAGTGGTCGTAGTGCTGGCTGACGATTGTCAATATCTCCTGCACAGATTCCAGAATACGAGGGTGGAATTCAAGGAGCTTGCTCTCCACTCGATCAGTGGCAGCTGCAGCCCTTTCGTTTTCAGCTTGAGATTGCTCCTGGTGCGATCTCACATCGTTGTGCATGCTCTCCATTTGCTGGCGGGACTGATCGACTTGTTCCATGAGAGCCTTCGTGTCCACACTTAACCGCTCACAGGTATCATTAACACTATCGCCCATAGCACCGATGACAAGCTTGATGTCCTCGGCAAGGCTTCTCGTACTTGTCAAAGATTCGGTGTGTGCCAGATCTCTCTGTTCGGTTTCTGAGAACTTCGACTGGAGGGACGTATGCGCATCTTCATACTTCGCCAAGACTTCGGAAATTTTCTCGTCAATCTTTGTGCCAAGCTCCACAATGATGGCGGCCCGCGTCTCATCGTGTTTGACTATTGTAGCAGCATCCCGCTCCTCCTTTTCGGCCTTGACTGCATCTTCATCGCCCCGAGAACGTTCGAATTCTCGGTTGATCAAGTCGGTGAGCTCCTTCATGTTTTCGACGGTGGTGAAGCTCTCTGCGGTGATGGCTAGTCCTTCGAGGAGCTGTTTAAGCTCGGTCAGGCCTTCGGTGCTGCCATCAAGCTTGCTTTTGAGTTCGTCCCCGAGCTCGCTGACGACAAACTTGGCTTCATCGATTTTCTCGGCAAGACCACCGTGCTCAACCTTGCGAGCATCGAACCCTTGGGCTGTCAATTCGTTATTGGCCTCCATCGTCTCTCGGAAATCGCAGACAAGTGTCGAGAGCTCCTGGATCTCCGTCTTGGTTGGAAGAGTATTCACATCAGGAAGCTTAAGCTCCTCGATTTGAGTCTTGACCTCGAAGATCATTGCTTCCACCGTTTCGATATCAGTTTTAAGTAATTTATCGGAATCTCCATCTTTAGTTTTGCTCTTCATCTCATCTAGGATAACCCAGACATCTTTGATGAGACTCTCCAAAATGCCGATTTCAGACTTTGTGGGAGTCTCGGCTTCGACGCGACTAGAAAACTGGGCAATCGATTCTTTTGCCTCTCGGATCATGGTCTCCAGGGCTCCAATGTGCTCAGGAGTAGCGACCTGGTCCGGTGAAGGGAAAACAAGTTCATCGATCTGGGTCTTCGCACTCAAGAGTAACTGCTCGAGAATCTCAATGTCCTTCTTTCGAGCCGTCTGATTGTTCTCGTCGCTTTTTTGAGTACTCATCTCACCCACGGCAAGCTGAACTTCGTTAATCGCAAGAAGGACTTCATCAAGGTGTGAGCGCTTGAGAGTATCCTCGGAAGCTTCTGCGGCATGAGGAGTAGTTTCAATGGCCTCGATCTTGTCATGAAGCTCGGTGATAAGCACTTTCAGACCGTCAATGTCAGGTCCAATGCTGGGCTCGTTTGCCAGGATGAGTTCACCGCCGCGGGCGGTACTGGCATCATCCAGTTCTTTGTTGGAATCACGGAGAGTATCCATTTCAAGCTTCAGATCTGCGAGACCATGTTTGATGGTATCGAGAATCTCGGAGCTGTCGAACTCAGTTGGCTTCTCCAATATTTTCTTCAGGTCGTTACGGATTGAGTCAACACTATCTCCGAATACCTCGAGGAGCTCACTTGTCGAGGACATCGTGGTTTCGTTGCCGTCTGTACGCGACGTCTCCTCGCGCAGGGTGTCGAATTGTTCACGGAGTGCGGATATGATCTCGTCTTTCTCAGCACCAGGTTCGGCACGAACCACACTCATCTCCATGCGCTCACGGAGACTCTCGAATTCATGTTTGATCGTATTGACAACATCATCGCCGGGGTCATTCTTGTGGCGATCAGCTGCCTCTCGAATAGCGTCCAAGATCTCATCTTTGTCTTCAGTGGCATTATTGCGTAGGAGTAGAGTGGTGATGGTTCCCCGTAGGTGCTCGAACTCTTTTTCCATGGCATCCAGAAGCTCAGGTGTATCCGGAATGCCTCGCGGGGCATTCATAAGTGTTGAATCTGTAATGGTCTTTTCCATATCAGCGTGGAGAAGTCGGAACCCCTCTTTCACCGTGTCAATTACTTCTTCCTTGCCGGATAGATCGGCCGCAGTAACCACGTAAGTTTCGATCTCCTTGCGAACGATATCGAGGCCATCCTTGATGGCGTCGAGGACTTGCTCGGTATCTCTTCCACCGGCGGCCGAGTATTGCTTGAATTCCTCTTTCATGCCTTCGAATAAAGATTGGAGGCGTTCTGTCATCTCCTCCCCAACGTTGGTATTTGCGGTACTGATAGCCTCGTTGAGACCGGAGGTGATTGCCTCCATGAGGTCGTCCTGGTTGAGCTCAATCTCCCGGGTGATGGAATTGCCATTGTCAATGCCTTCTGAAATGGCAGCCAAAATTTCCTCGCGTGAGATGGAGGGCTCTTGGACGTTGGTGCTGAGCGCTGACTGCTGGCTGCTTGCCGAGGCTTCAATACCCTCAGCGATAGCACTCATAATTTCCTCCTTGGAAACGCTAGGCTGACCATTCACGCCGAGCGAAGCCTGGGACTGCTCAATACCTTCGAGAATCGCATTAATAATTTCCTCCCGGGAAAGAGTGGACTGCTGATCGTCACTGTCTTGCTTAGGCAGTGTAAGAGCACGTGAAACAGAGTTACTCGAGTTCTGAATGCCATCAGCAATGGCGTTCATGATCTCATCCCTGGAGATATTCGGTTCTTTTGACAAGTGCTCCATGCCTTCCAAGATGGCACCCAGGATCTCGTCTCGAGAAATACTAGGCTCCCCGTCGTTGGTGAGGGAAGAACGTGAGTGTTCGATGGCATCCACGATGGCGCTGAAAATCTCTTCACGAGAGGGCGTACTGAGTGCTGATTTCTGAGCGTTCATTGAACTTTCAATGCCCTCGGCAATGGCATTCAAAATTTCATCACGAGAGATGTTCGTGTGAGCAGTAGCAAGAGCTGATTGTTGAGCATCGAAGGCTTCATTGACCGCATTCATAACATCATGGCGGGAAATGCGTGGCTCATCCATCTCTCGAGCCGCAGTGAAATGGGCTTCGAGGCCATCAGAAACGGCATGGACAATCTCGTCGCGGCCAAGGCCAGAGTCGTATGAGTCCTTGCTCAGTGTGCTTTGTGTCATAGAGCCGGCCAATGCGCTGAGAATTTCGTCCCGGATAGAATTTAGTTGACTGACATTGTCTTCATCCAAAGGCCTGGAGGTGCTGTGGTTACCCATTGCCCCAGTGACAGCTTCAATGATATCATCGCGGATGGAGTAGAGGTGATTGACATGGTCCTCATCCAACGTCTTAGGCCCTGTGCTGCTGATGTCCATCATTCCATTAATTGCTTGCAGAATCTCATCCCGAATGGAGTACATGTGATGGACATGACCTTCGTCCAACTCCTTGGAGCCTGTGCTATTCGTAGCCATTGCCCCGACGACTGCTTGAAGTATTTCGTCACGGATAGAAGTCAGATGACTGACGTGATCGTCGTCCACAGATTTGGGACCTGCGGCATGGCTTGTCACTACCTCAGTAATGGCTTCAATGATCTCATCGCGAACAGAGTGGAGGTGATTGACATGGTCCTCGTCCAAAGACTTGGGCTGCATGTTGTTCGTTGCCATTGTCCCAGTGACCGCATCGAGAATCTCGTCGCGGATCGAGTGAAGATCGCCGACGTGTTCCTCGTCAAGAGATCTAGAGGCAGACTCGGGCTGCTTCTCCAAGCATTCGCGGATGGTCAAGATGATCTCATCCCGAGAGATGCTTGGCTGATGCTCGATTTGTGGAGGAATGAACTTCTGCATGCCGTCCTCAACGGCTGCGAGAATCTGATCGTAGGTGACCGTCTGTTCATTTTGGGGCTGGTAAGACTTGAGACCTTCTTCAAGGCATGTGAGGATCTCGTCTCGTTCCAAGCCAAAGTTGTTGAACTCGATTTCGGGCTTGTAGGTCTCCCAGGCTTCACGGACAGTCTCGAGGATATCTTCTCTGTCCATTCCAGCACCTCGCGAATGGGCTTGGGGTTGAGGTAGTTCAAATTCATCGAGTGCTTTTTTCACAACAGAGTAGATTGCGGCACTGTTCATGGTTGATCTGAATTCGGACAAGTCGGACGACTGCTGCCGACTCTCATTGATAGTAGCAGCCAGCTGCTCTTTGAGGTCGTCCAGGCTGCGGTTGACAATGGCGGAAACTTCCTCTGGGCCAGCGGCTCTAGGCTGCTCCTCGGACTCATCGTTGGAACGGGAACTCTCGATCTCGTCTAATCGGCGAGCAAGTTCTCGACCCATGCCCAGAACCTCACCTCGTAGCTCACGTACCAACGACTTCACGCCGTTGGTCATTCCACCTCCTTCGATGACGCTATTCTTGACACTCCTAAGAATTGCCAGAACTTCTTCCGGATTATTGGGTGAAGAGCTGCCCTCCTTCTCAGAGTTAGAAAGGTCTAGTGCACGTACAGTTTCAGGGTGCACGGATCCCATCGACCCAGATCGTCTCGGCTCGGAGGAGGCATTCCCAGATTGGATATTATCGGTATTGGCGCCCCTACGGTAAGATCGCACGAGGGCTTTGCTTGCAGGATCCTCTTTGACGAGATTGAGGATCTCCTCGAGCATAGCAGTGACCTTGTTATCGGAATCTTTATCCGAAGCGCTAGTTGCTGGTCGAGATTTGATTTCTTCAACGACCTCTAAGATCCTTTCCTCACCTTCCTTAGTTGCCATCTCGCGCAATACCTTTTCGAGCAAAGCAAGGGCTGCGGAACCGTCGGAAATCGGAGCAGGTGAGACGCAAGACTCCCGATCAAATGCGAATGGATTAGGGCTAGGCATGCGAGGCACGGAGTAGCTCCTCTTCGAAACTGGACTATCCGAACCCTTGGCGTTAGGCCCATCACCACCCTTGAAAAGATTGCTGAATTCAAACCTTGTAGCCTCAGCGTCCAGGTACTTGTTTGTAAGATGAGAGGACAGATCCTTCAGACTCTTGCGAATGTCTTCATCGCGTGCGTTGGTTGCCGCCTTGAGGCTAACCAGGTCGGTGGCATTGTCTTTGCTGCGTCGGCTCAAATTCATCATCTCACGCTGCAGACTGCTTGCAATGTCCGTGAGACTGTGGATTTGATTTGAGAGGGTGTCCATGCTTGCATTCTTTGTGGAATAAGCTTGTGGCTCAAATGGCCCAGCGATCATTTTTGGCGGTTTGGAAGGTGATGGAGGGTCGGGTTCTAGAGGTAGCTGCATATTTTGCAGAGCCAACATTGTAGCTGAGGTTGGAGTACTCTCTCCCAATATTGGCTTGGATAAGTACCGACTCGAAACGGAGTATTTCATCTCGCGGTCCACATCTTGACGGAGCACTGGCGAACTGGTTGACTTGGTAGGGTCGCGCGGCTTGGTCCCATCAATAATCGTCGCACGAAGAGGACGCTCTGGGGATCTGTTGTCAAGGTAATTCAGAAAGTCGCTGCGCGCATCTTGTCGGGTATCTTCAGGCTGTAGTGACTGCATGCGCTTGTGCTGGCCTTTGACCAACGACCTCTCTGGCGAGGAAGACTTGAGTGGCATAGGATTTGTTGTGTAGGAGCTCGGTGCATTATCGCTAGGTCTCTCTGTAAATTTTGCGGCCACTGCTTGAATGTTGGGAGAAACATTGGACCTCGTCGCAGGGCTCATCGGACTCATCGAACGAGGATTCATTGGTAGCGGTGGAGGCGCACGCTCGGGATCCGAACTGTCCCACCTGCGTAGACCGCGTTTTAGCATTTGTTTGAAATCACCCATGGGTTTCGCGAAACAAGAATCAGAAGGCGTTAGTTGCGAAACCTACATTGGAACTTTGGACTCGGAGTATGTCAGTGAATGCCGGACCAATTCCCGGTCACGGGGGGTATCCTTCTCTGGGGACACCATGATGTCTTCGTGAGTGGATTATCCAGATGTCTCAGAGAGGTATTGACAATATGGATGGAATGTATGTAGGGTATGTGTAGAATGCGTTCAAAGTAAAAACAAGGTCGTCAAGGAGGAAACGCTGGAAGAACAAAACAAAGCTAACAATCTCAGAGCTCGGTGGAGGAGAGAAAATTACCGGGAGATCAGCTTGATAAGTGGAAAGCAAGTGGGGATGAGGAGAAAGAGGAGCTACGCAGTCTTGTATACATCACTCACGGCCCTAGCAACCGGGGCAACTGCGATCGTCATGTAAACACAACCTGAGTCAGCGGGAATCAAGGCAGGCGGTGAGCAGGACTGGGCCGCACCTGCCCTACACCGTCAAGGCTGGGCACAACATGCAGATTATGTCATCATCTCCTCCGGCCCCGGGGCTCAATGGGGAAACTATCCCCAAACAGGCTAGTCGCCATCTGTCGGTAAGTCAACCAATCAATCCACAACACACAAATCGCTACTGTGCCCTGAAACCCTCTACCTCACATCCGCAAAAACGAATACTTTGATCTTGACCGTTCCGTATCTCGACAACCAGCCATCCTCGCCGCCCCCGGGACCTTCACAAAATGAAGTGTACGTCTTCACCATTCGATTCCCCTTACGATTTATATGCTGACAGATATGTTACAGTCATGAAAGTGGGCCGTGTGGCCATCATCACCCGTGGCCGCTACGCCGGTAAGAAGGTACGACAAGATCCTGATCCTCCCCGAAATTGAGCACGAGAATAGAAAGAGGCGAACGACCTGCAAGCGAAAGACTCGAGATTTGAAAGAGCACAATGCACTATGGAGGAACTGCGCGACAAGAAAAAAAATTCGGAGTGCTAATCAGGCATTTTTGTTCGAGTTTATAGGTCGTCATTGTCCAGCCCGTTGATGCTGGCTCCAAGTCGCACCCCTTCTCCTACGCCATTGTTGCCGGTATCGAGCGTTACCCCCTCAAGGTGACCCGTGGTATGGGCAAGAAGCTTGTCGACCGCCGCAGCCGCATCAAGCCTTTCATCAAGGTCATCAACTACAACCACTTGATGCCCACCCGTTACACTCTCGAGCTTGAGGGTCTTAAGGGTACCATCACCAACGACACCTTCAAGGAGGTCTCCCAGCGCGAGGACGCCAAGAAGACCATCAAGAAGGCTCTTGAGGACCGTTACACCAGCGGAAAGAACCGTTGGTTCTTCACTGCCCTGCGTATGTTTGGCCCGGGATATACATATATGCATATTGGAACTTGCACTAATTCTCCGAAACAGGTTTCTAAACGGTTTCCTTGGGCGTTTTGTCGTTTTGAGCGCACTGGTCTAGGTGAAGGCGAGGTCGAAAAGCCATCGAGAACATTCGGTCCCTGCGAGCATGGGATGGGAAAACATACGCCATAGCTGGAAACAGATTCGTGAATGTATCGATGAACTCCAGTTTTAACGGGGGCGCCACTTCCATACCTGGTGTCCGTCTGAATGAAATGGAAAATGAACAATTATTTCAAAATCAATGTTGTCTATTACCTGAAAACTGGTCGACATCTTCCTCTTTCGCATAGGCCGGGAAGGATTTTGGTCTGTCCTCCTAACACAGATCATTCCCACGCCTGGATGACCCTGTAGCTATGTGGTTTGTCTCAGGGCATTCAATCTCATGGTTTCATTGCTACGATCGATGTAACCATGTCTATCCGTAACGTGCAATCGTAGTTTTCGAAAAGCAATTACTTACATAGGCCTCTCGTCTAGTTCCAAAGAAGACTCTAGATTCCCGATCACGACGAGGATGTCGAGGAAGCCCCCAAAGGTCTAGGTCCTCATGTCCATGCTCGCGGATACAATTATAGATTGTCTTCCTCCACAGTCTATATGCATACCACATGTGAACCCCACCCCCGCCAAGACATATCATACCTCAGCGATATGGGCATCAGCGCTTGAGTATTCAACACTAGCAGGATTCAATCTTGAACTTATTTCTAGCATATAGCATGCATGCTTGTGCTGGTACCCACTGGCATTTCAGTTTTGACAGCGCTCGAGTATTTTCATCTATTCCAAACAAAGAGTCGCTTTGATTCCAAGTTCCAGTGAACAACTGAACCATTTTGATCTCTAGTAAACAGTAAACAAGGGGACAATGGTCTTTGAACGATATTTTCGGTTCAATCTTCGAATAAGAGAAACGCATTCTTTTATCTTCATTGTCTTCTTTTATCTTAGTCTCCACGGGCCCAGAATAGGATATTTCATTCAATCCAGACATAGTATTTATATAGACCACTGATCTCTTATTTCAATCAAGTACTCGAACACCTAGTAGGGTCCATACCAAGCTGCAAGTCAATAGATCGCCAGTCATCTAGTTCTAACCATGGCCATTCCTCTCAAACCCATCCGCGAGCACGCTAGGGAGAAATGGTTGGACAACGAGGTCCATCGACACTACAACATGCCCATGGTAGCCGTGCGGGCCACGCCTCATATCCTGATGCACTGTAACGTGTGCCGCGACACTACTTCCCTTCTGAAAACATCGTTCAGTATTGACAAGTGGGTCAACGCCGAATATTTCATCTGGGAGATGTCCGCGGGGTTAGCTGACAGCGGCGTAAACCCACAGTGGACGGAGTTTTTCGAAGAACAATACCAGGAGCAGTGGATACAGATCCAGAGCGAGTTCATGGGCATAGCCGATCTACCTGAGAGATTCCTCCACGAGGTTCCGCTCCCGCCCTTCCAGGTTGCAGAGGTGAGAATCAAGACTAACAAATTCCCGTGTTATTGGCGGCTCAGTGCAAATACGGGCCAACACATGATTGATACCAGCTTTTGGCATCTTTGGAAGTTGATTCTCCAGCAAGACTCGCTCGCCGTTGGTCCCTTTGAGGTTGTTCTTAAAGCACCCTTGCACACTCCTGCCGGGGAGGATTCTGTCCATCCTTGGAATATGTCTCTATCAAATGACCACCCTGGAGTTGTCAGTCGTGATGATGTTTCGTATCTTCGCTGGAATCGTGCGCGCAATGATCCCGCTCCATTAGATTGCAGATGCCTCTCTAAAGCGCAGCGAGATAGTATCCCTTCACCTAGTCGCAGCCGATCACGCTCTACCTCAGCTAGTAAGGACTTGCCGCAACGCATGCGAGATGATCAGTTTCTTTAACATAGTATGGAGTACCTGGTAGGTATTGACCAGGTCTCCTTTTTTTTCCGGCCTAGTATATGGAGTACTACATATATATTTCTGATATTTTCCCCCACCACGAATATAATTCACATACAGTCTGCTACGCTAGTATTTCTCAAAAATACCATACATTTCAAGGAGTAAAGGTTGACCAAAGTAAATACTGATATACACTGATACTATCATGAGGGTGGGAATATAGAATGAGAGCCTGCATGAGAGTGCATAGCTGTCGGGTGCAATAGCCGATTGACTCCAACATAGTACAACATAGTAAATCATACGATACCAAGAATATGTGAAACCCGGAGTTCCTTTCAGGTGGAGTCTAGTCCGTACACAACAAAGCGACCACAAAATACATCCCCTCATGCGCGGCATCATGTCCGACAGCTGATTCCCTTGGCACACATGTTGACGTAGTAATGCAACAACAACTGCCAAGCCAAGGGCAAAGCGCTTCGAGAATATTTGACAGATAAAACGCCTGAAAAAATAAGCCGTGTTCGCCTGATTTCATGTGATAATCACCTCAGTCGACCAATTGATTTACAAGGCAACACAATTGAATCCTTGACATCGAGAGCGCCAACGCTAAACGACGCCTCAGTTTGACATGTGAAATTGATACATTCGCTAACAACGGATCACGGGCCTCCGCGACGCTAGATGTCCATATGTAAGCATCTTCATGCCAATCGCCACTCCATTTTAGACCCAATTGTACATGAGAAGTAGGGGAGTGGCGTGCTTTGCCACAGTTTAAATGGGGATTTTCGACTACACAATATTCCAAAGGCTCCAAAAGCAATGATAAGATGTATTTTTTTGGGCGGTATTCTGGGTAAAGGGTACGTGAACAGAAAGGGCAGAGTTTGTACTTTGTAGATGTCAAGACAACCGTTGCTGGTCAAGACCCACGGTATACAGGGATCTGCACAGTAGCTTAATCGTAATCGAGTGGGTTGCTAGTCGATCGGCGTAGTCCCGAGCAAAAGAGAAAGAAGAAAAGAAGAAAAAAAAGGAGGGGGGGCAAAAAAAAAACATCGCCTCTCCGGCTTAGAATTTCGATGTCCATGGCATAACTATCTGTGTCGACATCAGTTTTTCATGTGCCGACCACAATGGAAAGCCTGGCCACCTTCTCGGCTTACCCTGATAGTCGTACCGAATACATAACATTCCGCATTCCGTTAGCCGCATTGGGAACACCAGGTAATATGTACGAAGTGCCAAGGTACCTTCTATCGCTCAGATAAACCGCCTGGACCAATAAATATAGTATGGCCATAGTAGTGTATGCCTATCGAACGCAACCGTTCCATAGAGTCACATCAAGCGCCGAGATTCGGATGACCCTGCGAATCACTTCGCCCGTCCCATGCCCGGGGTCGGCAGAACGATCTCCAATCCGGCTAGGACCTTGCGCAATCTTACTCCCCCTACGGAGTACATTTGGACCGGAGGCTGTTACGTATTCCCGAGAGTAGAAGCGGTTCGAGGGGCCGACGGTCAGGCCAATAGGTGGGGACATGACTAGCATCACCAATGTACGTGCAGGTGGGCTAGACTCATATAACTTAGAAGCCGAAGCATCAGCCATATGCTGGCAAACTAGCCCCGATCTGCGGCCATCTGTCACCGTCTAGGCGGTTTTCTTATGCAGATAAGCAGTCTCGTCCAACGAAAAACGGTGGAACGGACGAAAACAAGGTTTATCTTGCGAGGTCTCCCCTCATTTGAGTTCAATGGATAAATTCTGGGGAATATCAAACCCTGGGAAGCACCTGGGAAGGTAGGAATTGACCGTGGAAGAGAGATAGAACAGATCATTGATAGACACCCAAGTGGAACCACCTTTCACAGACCCGCAATCACATGCGAAAGCACCTTATCAAGAATCCATCGATTGGGATTTTTCAGGATTTTGGCAATCGAAACAAGTATATTTGGGATACGTCAACTATAATTAGCCATGCAATTGCTCGGACGGTTTCAGTGCATGTCCAAAGTCAATGGATTGGCGTGGGATCACTTAGAATCGGCCATTGAACCCTTGTCTTCGTAAAAAAGATGGAAAAAAGAATATAGCAAAAGAACATAGCAAAGAAGAAGAATAATCCCAAGTAGAGGACTGAATTAACCCGAGAATACGATGTATGGCAAATGATGCGATTGCGGTAGGACCCATTGCATAATGACAGCGCAATCACATGTGAAAACCCTTTTTTTCCTCTATACAACCCAATTTATTCCTCTCCCTCTCTCCCTCTCTCTTCTCTTCTGTATTCTTATACTATATCCTTCTCAACTTACAATCTTTATGCCCCACGCAGAAGTAAAAATGGGTGAACCGGTCGTCAACGGCGAGAAGCACTACTCTCAGTTCCTTGACGTATGTACCCCACTACAGCCTAACGAGAATGATCCTAACATCTCCAATCTAGCATCTGACTTCTTATCCCATCATCTCCGACTCTATCTCCTACTACAAGGGCAATCCCTACGGAGCCAAGTCCCTCGAATTCGCTGACCAGGGCTACACCCGTCTCGCCAAACCCGTTCTACCCTACTTCTCCACCCCATACAGCTATGTCGCTCCCTACATAGCCCGCGCCGACTCCCTCGGTGACAAGGGTCTGACCAAGATCGATACCCGCTTCCCGATCTTCAAGGAGGACACCCAGAAGCTGCGCGGTTCCATCTACAACAGTGCCTCGCTGCCTGTCCGCGTCGCCGGCGATGTCAAGCACCATGTCTTCGATGTGTATGGCTCGGAGTACAAAAAGTGTGGTGGTGATGGTGTCTTTGCTTCGGGCAAGGCGGTTGTTACTACCAGCTTGGTTCTGTCGCAGGAATCCCTGGCTTGGGTTAGCACTTTCCTCCAGAGTAAGAAGGAGGAGACGAAGGAGGTTGTCAATGAAAAGTACAACCACTGATTTTAGATCTCTTTGACCTTTGGAGCGTTCGTTTTCTTTGTTTGTTTTTTTTTTTTCCTTTTCTTTTAGAGAACATAATACCTCATCGCTGCTCTGTGTTGCCTTGCCCACGTTGTATTTAGTTCACGTTCCCAGTATCGACGTAATTATACCTCGACGCTAATTCATTGGATTTCGTCATATAACTCTCCATATACGTAGACGTCGAAAATGATGTCTTTCTTCAGTAAATTACCAAATACAATCCTCGAAGGAACCTAAAATAAAGAAACTGACATCGAAGCCCATCTGCTGAAACAAAGAACCATCGATAAGGGCTACGCACAGACCAACCCCAATGGGGTAAAATCAGTCTATCGCGTCGCGTCTCTCCAAACCCACCTGCAATTTATCACACCTACATAATCAAAATGTCATCGAATCGCAAAAGACGCGTATGCAAACACAACCCTTGGTTTATCCACCAACTAACCGCCTTCCCTAGACCAACGAAGCACCCGAGACCGAGGTAACCCCAAGCGCTCGTCGCAGAAGACAAACCGAAGAACCCGCCTCATCGCCCGCAGCATCCAGCGACGATGACGAACCGAGCGCACCGACCAGCACCGACGCAATGGTCAAGAAGTTGGTGCGGCTCGCCCTAGCCAGCGAGTATTCGCGGCTCCCGATCCGGCGCAACGATATCAGCGCCAAGGTGCTGGGCGAGCACGGCTCGCGACAATTCAAGCTAGTTTTCGACCAGGCGCAGCGGGAAATGAGACAGCGCTTTGGTATGGAGATGAGCGAGTTACCGGCGCGAGAGAAGGTCACCATCAGCCAGCGACGGGGTGAGTTGGATTCCATGTCTTGCTTTTCTTTGTTGCAGACTCATGCTATTTCTGAGTATTCACTACTGACATGGCATGGCATTCCTGTACTACAGCCGCGCAGAAAATTGAAAAGCCTTCTTCGGGTAACAAGTCCTGGATCGTTACTAGCACACTGCCGCTCGCATATCGTTCCCCCGATATCCTCATCCCGACCAAGGCACCCTCCCTCTACACCGAAAGCACATACACCGGCCTGTACAGTTTCATTATTGCGGTGATTCTGCTGAACGGCGGTTCGCTGGCTGAGCAGAAACTTGACCGGTACCTGACGCGCACAAACGCCGAGATTGCTACGCCGGTCGACCGCACGGATAAACTACTGCAGCGGCTATGCAAGGAGGGATACATTATCAAGACGCGGGAGATGGATGGCGGCGAGGAGGTGATTGAGTATATTCTTGGTCCTCGGGGTAAAGTTGAGGTTGGGACTAGTGGTGTGGCGGGTCTTGTGCGAACTGTGTATGGGAAAAACAGGGGTCCCCACGAGAACTTGACTGAATTCCAGAGGGAGGACCTGGAAGACTTTGAGGGGAAGCTCGGGAGGAGTCTTGGGATTGAGCCGGCGACCATACAAGCTAATGGGGCGGATGATGCGAGCGATGTGAACGGGGACGGGGAGGAACGTGAGACGCCGCGAAGCTCTGGGCCTAGACGGTCTTCGAGGCGTGCTCCTGCTCAGGAAGAGGAGGATTCTGATGAGGAAGAGTATGAGGAAGAGTGATTGATATGTCTACGATTGGCACGCCGTGATAACATTGGATACATACTACATGTAGGTATCTGCAACTTGATACCCAAGAATATTTGTGTTTTTAATTTTTGAAGGTCATTACTATGTGTAGGCAAATTCTTTCTTCGAGCATATTCTTCATCTTCACACCTGATACTAGAGAGCATCATGTACTCATCGAGGGAGAACTTGGCTATATGATTATAGTATGATTTACAGATTTTGGATGGTAACACTTTAATGATCATGATATAAATCGGTATTCATTGGTAGGAGCTTCTCTCCGTTAGACTATATACGCATACACATGAACTATGAGATGTACACAAATGACAAAATATATATGTTTCCATGTCTCGTGGCGATCGATCGGGGTCGATCCTACAGAAATAAGTCTAGAACGGGCTTTTACATCGAACTAGGATGGAACTGATATGTATTTGGGCCCCAGATTGAACATGGTGCTATTCCTTACTTGATATCGCTTGATATGAAGCCGATTTGAGGATCATAGGATCGTGATGCCCTCTCATTCAATCGGGTTACAAAAGATTGGAATAAGAAGTTCAAGTCTGATAGTTAATGTTATCGGTATAGCAGAAAGAAAGAGAGGGATTGAAGCAAATATTATACAGTCTTGACAGAAGGTACATGGTCTATAGGTGTACTGTCAATCAGGCGTCACGCCAAGATTAGCTTCAGGCCATCCCGCGATCTATAGGCTGAGACAAAAATATACAACGTCTAACGGCAGCTACTTTAATAATATTACAAGTCTACAAGGAAAAGAATTTGTCATAAAAATGTGGTAGTCATTTCTACTACACAGCAAATCTACCTCGATCCAGTAATTGTTTTTGAAAAGAAAAAATCATCACGGCATAATGAGCATCATCCGAGAATAATTTATTTCTTGCCAGCCTTGGCAGCGGCCTTGGTGACCTTGCCAGCACCACCGGCGTTCTTCTCGACGGACTTGATGACACCGACGGCAACGGTCTGGCGCATGTCACGGACGGCGAAACGACCGAGAGGGGGGTAGTCGGTGAAGGCCTCAACACACATGGGCTTGGAGGGAACCATCTTGACGATAGCGGCATCACCGGACTTGATGAACTTGGGGGAGGTCTCGGTGGCCTTACCGGTACGGCGATCGATCTTCTCGAGGAGCTCAGCGAACTTGCAAGCAATGTGGGCAGTGTGGCAATCGAGGACTGGGGCGTATCCAGCGCCGACCTGACCGGGGTGGTTCAGGACAATGACCTGAGCGTTGAAGGAGTCACAGGCGGCAGCGGGGTCGTTCTTGGAGTCGGAAGCGACGTTACCACGGCGAACCTCCTTGACGGAGACGTTCTTGACGTTGAAACCAACGTTGTCACCGGGGTTACCCTGCTTGAGCTGCTGGTGGTGCATCTCAACGGACTTGACTTCAGTGGTGACGTTGGCGGGGGCGAAGGTGACGATCATGCCGGGAGTGATGATACCAGTCTCGACACGACCGACGGGAACTGTGCCAATACCGGAGATCTTGTACACATCCTGGAGGGGAAGACGGAGGGGCTTGTTGGAGGGACGGACGGGGTTCTCGATGGCATCGATGGCCTCGATGAGGGTCTTTCCGGTGGACTTGCCAGCCTTGGTCTCCTTCTCCCAACCCTTGTACCAGGGGCAGTTGGTGGAGGGCTCGAGCATGTTGTCGCCGTTGAAGCCGGAGATGGGGACGAAGGGAACGGACTTGGGGTTGTAGCCGACCTTCTTGATGAAGTTGGAGGTCTCCTTGACAATCTCGTTGTAACGCTCCTCGGACCACTTGCAGGTGTCCATCTTGTTGAGGGCAACGATGAGCTGCTTGACACCGAGGGTGAAAGCGAGCAGAGCGTGCTCACGGGTCTGGCCATCCTTGGAGATACCAGCCTCGAACTCACCAGTGCCGGAGGCGATGATGAGAATAGCGCAATCGGCCTGGGAGGTACCAGTGATCATGTTCTTGATGAAATCACGGTGACCGGGGGCATCTGTAAGAATGTATTAGAATGTGTGCAACTGACTGAATGGATGGGACAGTGTCTCTTACCGATGACGGTGACCTCGTACTTGGCGGTCTGGAACTTCCAGAGAGCGATATCGATGGTGATACCACGCTCACGCTCAGCCTTGAGTTTGTCAAGAACCCAGGCGTACTTGAAGGAACCCTTTCCGAGCTCAGCAGCCTCCTTCTCGAACTTCTCGATGGTACGCTGGTCAATACCACCACACTTGTAGATCATGTGACCAGTGGTGGTAGACTTGCCGGAATCGACGTGGCCGATAACGACAATGTTGATGTGGTTGCGCTCTTCCTTACTGTTGGGACTGAGTCAGTGTCTGTTCTGATGAGAATGAAACGAGTGAGTGATGGTCACATACCCCATGATGACGGTTGGAACTTTTTGTAGTTCTTTGTAAGATACTAGAAAAAATCTGTGGAAAAACTTGCTCAGAGACTACGGCAGAACGCGTAGAGGTACTGAGCAAAAGTAATCAGTAAGAGTAGTTGGAAGAGGGAGCGAGACGGCTTAAAAGCAGTAGGGGGGCAGGAAAAACTCACTGTAGCAGACGAGAGGAAGAAGAAAAATCTGTGGGAGAGGGGAGGAGGGGAAATCCTTATATGGAGGGGCAAGCGAGCGAGGCGAGTCAGCAGGTGGGGCCAAGCCCTCTTTTGGTTAGGGCTTGTGATTGGTTCTAGCCCTTACCCGTGTACGCAGATTTTGCAAAGTGGGTTGGTGGGTTGAGGTACATGTACCTGCCCTAATACGGACTCTCCCATACTGAACCATGTACTGTCTACCCTGCGCTTGAAACACCCTCCCTTTCTCTGGTTTTCTCCTGCCACGGCACTCCACTCGGTGTGAAAACTTTTTTTTTTCTTCGGCTCCGTCCCAGCCCACTCTGTGGCTCTAAACGCCTGAACTGGGCAGCAACGCAGAGTGGTTGGGTGAGAACCTTCTAGGTTGCATTGTTTACTGTACCTATTTCCCGCTTTCTCTGGCACCGTACGAATTCCTGTGGCGATATTGGATGACTCGTTCCATTCTTTTCTCTTTTTTTCTCTCTTTGTGTTTTCAGAACCCCGCAGGTGAGGGGCAACATGCTCACCGCCAAATAATCCCACCAACAATGTCATGCATAGAATTTTATTTGTTTTTTGGCGTCTGGTGATCCGATTTCTCTGTAGCAAATCCCAGGCAGAACCAATGTCGGGCTCTACATCCGTACTAAGTCGGTAATATTTTTATAGTGGCGAAGCACAGAAAAAGCCAAAGCTACAATAAGTTATGGTACAAAATAAAAATGCATAAAAAGTTAAATTTTGAGTCCGCTGATCGCAAAATAGTAATGTTCAGTGTTGATCAATTTGGGTATCTTTTGTATCAACATGATAGTTTTGAGTCATATATGCCCCAATAAACACCTGGTAAATGCGCCAGTTGCACCTCGCTGTAGTAAAATCCAAAAATGAAAGATGTGACTTGTTCCCAGCCTTGTCGCCCAACTCTAATTTTCTCTCCACCGAGCACCACACGACGTGCACTGGAGCTGTCAGACACGGGTACCTCACGTTGGATGTAAGGAGGGAGACATACCTTCAAGAATGTAGTCATCGGTTCATCTGCACTGCGAATCTGCAGTTGGAAGAAGTACGCACGTTCCCCGTTGCAGCTTTCAGCGGGGCATTGAGCTATAAGGAAAAAAAAGAGTATGTCAGCCCTGTATACTCGACGGACATGTCACTTCTGAGAGAAGATAGCAGAGATAACTTACTGCCAACACTGTCAGCATTGGCAAACTCTTCCTTGCCACCAAATACGTCGTCCACTTCCTTTTGTTTCATGTCTTTCTTCTCGAAATAGTTCTTCTCTAGCGGTGCCTCGTAGGGGCAGACGCGGCATTCAAAGCGGTTCACACCCGCTGGGAATCTTGTGCTCGATTCCGCTTTAGAAATAGTGAGCGCATTGCTGCAGTTGGGACAGACTAGGGAGAGGAATCAGTTTCTGTTCTGGCTGTCGCTGGACAGCGTGAACTAGGAGATAGCACATACAGACGAGCATCTTGGTGATCTGGCGGATACGGTGGGTAAGGCTAAGAAAGAGCCAGACAGCTAGACCAGGAGAAAGGTAGGTTCTCAGCAGCTATACAATGTAGTTCCCGTCAGGTGCAGGTATCGCCGTCGATAATGAGAGATATAGGCGCGCGGCTAAATCCGGACCGGATTCGGACGATTATATATCCGGGGCGGCCCGCGTGTGGAATGGGGAACAACTCCGACAACCTGTAGTATTTACCAGGAATTTGAATGCTTTTTTAACCGGCAATCCAGCTTGTACATACATATTCCACTTCGTTTCCCCGTGGAAGATTCATTCTGGTCAGCAATATACCCATACAAAACGCCGGATTATTGTTACAACTAGCTCCACGCGCCCCATAACAGCTGAGCACCAATTTCTGTACTACCGACTTCACTCTCGGGTATTCCGGACTCTGTGGACCCGTATACAAAAATGGCTGACGAGGTGAATACTACGTAATCTTTGCTCACTGTCAACGCTAATGCCGCTATGATTTAGGGCGCATCACCCCGCGAGCTGGTCGTGGAGGCCTGCCGCCGGGACCAACCCCACCTAATTGAGCAAGTGCTGAACGATATGGAAGACAAGACAAATGAGCAAGTGGCACAATTCTTCAACGAGTTGACAGACTCTATGGGAAACCACGCATTGCACATCTGTGCCCAATACGGCAGCTGTACGTGTTTACCTCGCCACTTCATATCTTTCATGCAAGCTAACTCCTTTTTTTGGTCAGATGATACCATGGACGCACTATTTGACATCCAATACTTCGAATGCGACCCGTTGACCCGGCTGGACAATGACACGCCGTTGCACATCGCAGTGCGGTACGCCAACGATAAAGACGCAGAACTCGGCGAGGCTATGATCAAGATGATGTGTGAGGCTGGCTGTGACCCTCGGGTGCGGAATAAGCATGGTCAGAAACCTGCTCAGCTGGTCTTCAACAATAACGAGATTAAGAAGATCCTTCAGCAAACCGAGTATATCATGGCTGAAGGTATTCAAAATACCGGGAATGGGACTGACTCGGATGGTGCGGCCAGTGATAGCGATTAAAGGGGCAAGTTCAGGGTGTTCGCATTGTCATCAGTTGTATTGCAGACATTATCTGTTTCTGGTTAGAAGACTTGAGATTCTCTAGTCGCGATGTCTGTTTTTATACACGAGTCTTAGACTTGACCGCATCTTCTATTTCTATTTTACGATTATTATGAATTAAGTACAGTCCTTAAGGGTTGTTGTCATAGAATTGACTTCTTGTTTCAGCGAACTACTAAAGTAAATGGAAATGCCATTCGTCTATTTTCGAGGGGGATATCACAAAGCTAAACTTTCGATGCCTTAACAAGCTTTTCTACTTGATCCAGCCACTTGCGGGAGAACTCTTCTTCGGTAAACCGTTGAGCTGAGCGACGGGCCCGCTGCCGCATGGCAAGTTTCTCTGCCTCCGGAAGAGCAAGGGCGGCCTCGAAAGAAGCAGCAAACTGCTCTTCTGTTTCAGCTCGGAATCCAGTTGCACCATCACCCAAATCAACGACAATGTCTTCACGTGGACCGCCCGAGTCGTGTGTCACGCAGATGAGACCGGCGGCTTGGTACTCGACGACACAAATACCGAAATGCTCGTTCCACATGGCATTGACACCAACTGAGGCGGTACGAAGATGTGACAGCATGACAGGCCAGCTGGCGTCGCACAAGAATGTAGTATGGTCGCGGATGCGAAGTTCATGCGCTAGAAGGCGCAGGTTGTAGATGTGGGTTTCATCAGGGCTGGAATGGCGCACCGACCCAATGAGCACAAGATGTGGAGGGGGTTGGCCTTCATATGCTGGGTTGTTTGTTCGTTCCTGTAAGAATCGCGCAAAGGAGCGCAATACTAGCGGGTGATTCTTCTCTGGCCGGAATTGGGCGATGTAAAGTAGAACGGGCTGGCGAGTTTTCTCGCTCTCCGCGTCAACGGCGATATTTGATTCCAGTTCGGTGACTGCTGTTGGGGGGAACACCACCGCCGGCGATGACGCTGTCCCATCGCCGCTGCTATTGCTGGTTTTCTTGCCGGTGCCCCAGAGCTTGCGAATGTGTGCTGCCGTCCAGGATGAGTTGCACATAACTACATCGATCTGTCGACCGACCCAGCCATATAGCTTGGCAAATATCTCCCAGTATCGACGCTTGACTTTCCCTTTCCACCCTTTCCCTGCACCGGAGTTGATCCCTTGCACCCCGCTCTTGTCGTCGAGAGAGGCGAGCATGTCGGTTGATATGGTAGGGTAATGAACGTAAGCGCCAACAGGCACTGTCGGGAAAAGCCATTTGCACAGAGCGAGTGTGAATGCATAGCCCATGGTGTCAACAAAAACATCCGGTACAAGCAGCGTAAAGGCATCGTAGGCAACAACCAGTGACCCCAGCGATTGTCCAAGCAGCGTCATGTAAGGATATGAGCTACTGACAACATACTTGCGGGTCGTCAAGTATAGAAGCACCACGGTCGGAGCATGTAGGTGAATGTTGAACCTGTTCTCCACCTTCTCCAGCATCGTGGCTTTATTGACTTCATGGTCACCCGTGTAGATAGCACAGATTGCCTTCGGCCAGCGTTTCTGTGTTGCACGTATTGCTTCCCATAGAACTCGTTCGCCACCTCCGCCGGCATTGCTGTAGCACCTGGTCAGCGTTGTGTGTTTTGGCGTGTGTAGAGAATGCCATACCAGAATGGGTGGAAGAACCCAATAATCCCATCCCAGTCCTCTGGACTCTGGTTGCTTTCCTCACCAGTACCACCACTGCTTTCACTACCAGTTGTAGTCTGTACCCCGCCTGGGCCTGAGCTATCCACCTTCTCCCAGTCCTCATCTTCGCCACCGTTCCGCGATACTGAAGTTGTTGAACCCTTCGGCCGTGAGGCGCGTAACTCCTCCTCTTCAGATCGCGCCCGCGCGATCACATACTCACGGCGAGACCGCGTTCGTCGCCATATCAGCCAGCCCACTCCCCGAAACACTAGACCGAGGAGAACGCCTGTTAGCTTCGGAAGCAGGATAGCCGTGGCGGTGAGGACCAGAATGGCCAGAATGACGTTTGATAAGAGGGCCATGGTGAAAAGGCAATATTTAAAGAGACCTCATCAGAAATCACACATAGTAAGAGAATTTGAGGTCAAACTAGAGAACAAGTCAGATAATGCTCCCCCTCTCTTGCTGTCAACAACTTGATCGGGCCAATGAAGTAATCACGTGTCACATGATGATCTCCAAATATCCGATTGCCGGTCCGCAATTCTTATAGCCTCACCTTTTTTTAGCCATTTTTTATTTTATTTTTATTTCATCTCTCACCCCGCTAGCAGTGATGCATGCCCTCTGCTCATCACAGGCTCTGCACCTAATGCGGCGAGCTATACAATTGCCTCGCTCGCAAGTTCGACACTTCCACCCAACAAGACCAACCTCATCCATCGTCGACCTTGCACTTGACGGCTCTACCGCATTTATTCACGGCGTCCATTCTGTTTCATGTCTACCATGGGCTGCCTCGATTCCGTTAACGGCTGTACTTGTTCGTACATTTGTCGGGTTGCCTATCATGTTATACACTCGACTCCATCGCCATCGCGAAAAGAAAATATCGCCAATTATAAGCGCTTGGGCGAGGAGATATGCAGACAAAAGGAACAGAGAGCTTTCCAATGTGCCTCGCAACGATGTAACACGTTCTCAAATGGGTAAAGAATTATATGGCAATATAAGGAAACGAACAGCTGAGCTTCATAAGCGTTGGGGAGTATCCGGAAAGCACAAAGCAATCGCCTTCCTGCAGATACCTGTCTTTATTGCGCTTATGGACAGTCTGCGTGGGATGAGCGGTAACAATCGTGGTATCATTGCCTGGCTATCGTCGTTCATCGAGTCGCAAGACCCTGCCTCCGCAGCCCAATCTTTGCATTTAACCATCGAGCCCACTCTTGCGAACGAGGGTGCCCTCTGGTTCCCGGACTTGCTGGCCGGTGACCCCACAGGCGTGCTGCCATTTTGTCTGACTGCGTCGATATTGGGGAACGTTCTGCTGGGATGGAAAGTCAAGCCTTGGAAGACGATTTCGTTCCTCCCAAAGAACGAGATGTACAAGCAGCTCTCTTTCACCGGTTTGCGGTCCTTTGTCATAGTCTTGACATGCTATATTGGATTTGCGAGCTTTGTTCAAGAGTTACCAACTGCACTTATGCTCTACTGGATCACCAGTACCAATTTTGCCACGCTGCAAACCTGGGTACTTGACAATAAGGTGTTTTCACCGGTAGAGATTGGCGTATACAAAAAGCAAGCCATTGTTTTCGAGAGGCCGGGCGATAATGATCCTTTCCAGTTGAAAAACTTGCGCTGATATCAATTGCGAGAATCGAATCATTTGGAATGACATGGGTTCTTTACCTTGAATCGATGATGGTTCGTTCAGCGATGCACCATTACAGGGTCGCGAGCTACCCACGCGCTGATCTAAATGAATTCCAGAGTTTTATTAAGATGGAGGCCACATTCGGGTCGCAACAGGACACCGCTTGGGGTTGCGCGTCGACATTCATAAACCGCCCCTGCTCTAGGATGCACATAGTTCGTCGACTGGTTTCGAGGTTCATTTGTGCATAATTCTCCTTGCCCACCTGTTTTCGAGCATGTACAATACCTTTTACTTCTCATAATAATAGTCGGCCGCGTATGCGGCCTCTGTTCTTACCGACGTACGACTTCGGTAATCTCATATAATTTTCTTTCGCTATGTTATAGGTAGAAAAATAACAATTAGCTACAATAATACAATATAGCTAGGACTAGGATACATATTGGGCTTATGCGGTCCAAGGCATCAAATACACAGCCGACTTTATATAAATAATCTAGAGATTGCAAATAATTCGTAAAATTGACAAAACTATGTATTCTCTAGGAAATTGCAAGACGTATAAGAGCCACCCTTCAAAATGCTTTGGAAATGTCACAAATAAAACAAGACAAAATAATGCCTAAAGCTTTGACTTGGGAGGCTGTTCCGAGGCACTCGCTTCCTGGTTGACTTCCACAGTACGCGAATCAGGGCCCTGACCAAAGAAGATGACCTCGACAGTAACATCGTCACTAAGAAATGTTAGCCAAATGCTCAAAAAATAAACTTCAAAAGAATAGATATCCTTACCGGTATCGGCGAGAGTAAGGACTGGGTAGCGTTAGCAACGCACACACCATATCCTTGTCCTTTCCGCCCATTGCATTTCGCACAAGATGCGTTGCTGCGTTCTTGTCCTCAACAACAAATCGAGTAGCCGCGCCAGAGATATCATATTGCTGCTGACGGATGGGACGCCGCTGGCCCTCGCTCGATGCGTCGGATGCAGCTTCTACGGGCAGTGTCTTCTGACTATCGAACCTGAACCAGCTCTGTAACCAAGCCTTGCTGCCCGTGCTTGCAGCAGCAGATTGTTGCTGCTCAACCCATTGACCAACCAGGCCGACAACTTCTTCATTGCTCAGCATCTCCCACAGACCATCGGTAGCCATGACGACAAAGTCGCCCTTGGAAGGATCGATTTTGGTGGTAGTAATGATAGGCTCGGCAGTGACATAGGGGGGCGTCTTCAGCATTGGATGAGGAGTGCGCCCAAAGAACTTCGCTTTTATCGTATCTTGGACATCCCGGCTCCACTTATAGAAAGCGTCACCGAATGCACGGCTGGGTTCGAGCTGGCCCAGGATTCGGCCATTCTTCGTGACATATGGTTCGCCGGGGTGCTCCTCGCGCAAACGTTTGATTTCAGATGGGGTACCACCAGTCTGGTCCTCGGAAAGAGCAGTAGCGGTCCATTTCCCGCTAGGGCCGCGACGGCCCAGAACTGCTCGAGAGTCTCCGGTAACAGCAACCCTGAGGTCTTTGGACTGGGAGTCATAGAAACTGAGAAGAGCACATGATCCTGAGAGAGCAGGAGCAAGGAGCTCGGCGGCGACCCGTCGCGATTTAGATTTCATGACTTCCTTGAAACTCTCATGTACGATGTCATTGTCGAGGCGGACGAAGCCTTTCTTGATGGCAGCATCGATAGCCTCGGATGTTGGCACGAGGAGAGATGGATCAGCAGAAGCAGCCTTGTAAGTTGTGTTCAATTCACGGGCCACATATGAGATCAAGACATTGCGCAATTTCGCAGATGTGGTCCAGCCCCTGACTTATAGTTAGTATCTATATCATAAGTATTCAACCTTGAGCTAGCGTACGAGTGACCGTCGAAAACACCCCAGAACATCCAGTCACTGCTTGGCTCGCCGTTGCTGACAGCAGCCACGGATGCTGGGATCTCCACTATCTTCTCCGCATGGTCGTCCTCAATGGGGGAGTTGCTGGGAACCTGAACAACATCGTAACGAACAACACCCTTGCCCCGATTGACCAAATATGACTCCTCGTTCTTACGAAGCTTCTGGGTCGCTTGCTCGGGAGTCAACATCTCGAGGACTTGGCGGTCTGAATCGTCTGTATGCTTGGCGAGAGGTTGGTCTTTGGAGAGCGTCGTGGTGTAAAATTGATCGCCGCTGACCAGCAATGCACGCCGTGTGGTCTCAGCCGGTCCTTCTGCGTAGGCGGAGTTGAGGGCACTCGATGCGAAATCCCGGATCTGGGTCGCTGCCGATTTAACGGTGTCGCCCTGATAAGTATACCATGCCCCAGAGGCAACGACGGTCGAGATAACAGCGAGGGAGAGTTTGCGGCGATGCATAGATAATTGAGAAGCTACTGGAGTGTGTGATGAGCGTCTGCTGCCAGTATATGGCCGAATACCTCGCAGGTGGTTGAAAGTCAAAGGGCACGGCCGTTTAGCGGCAATGTTCCATACTGGTGCAAGCCGAGCAGTACGGCAGGCCTGAACAGTCGCCCGACGCATTGGTCCAGCGATAATAGGACAGCTGATAAATTTATGTGCCTTTTCAAGGCAAATAACGGCTTTGAGAATGTATGTAGAGAGGTTTCAAGCTTGTCAAGGAGCTGGGTCTCCGCAGATGAAAGTCACGTGTAAATGTTATCCAAAGGGAGCTAGTCCGTATTAGTCTCTGTCGTCATTCCCCGCGGGTTTCTTTCGGCGCGCTTTTCTCGCTTTCTTTACTTTCGCAGGCAGCTTCTATTTCATACTTCCAAGGGCTTTGCCTCGGTGTGTAGGATGTCATCACGAGCAATCCGAAAACTGCAGAAGCTGCGTGAACAAGAACAGCAGCGAGAATCCGATCAGCAAGATGAGTCAAGCGAAGACGAAGCCCCGCGCCCCGCGAAACCGAAGTTCAATGCCTTTGATTTGCTGAACGCTGAAAATGAGGATGAAGAGGAAGATGAGGAGGATATCGAGGAGGAACCTCGCACGCACACACCAGAGCCTGAACCAACTCCGATAAAACTCAAAAAGAGCAACAAGAAAAAGAAGAAGAAGAAGGCAGCCAAAACCTCTAATTCGGCCAATTCCCCGCCTTCAAAATCGAATGAAGGAGACTTGGACGAAATTGATCGGGCTTTGAAAGAATTATCGACAGGTGGGCATTCGTCGGTTGGCGCAGGTCTATCTACCAGACACAATCCCGAGGCCTCTTTCCCAAAGACCACGAGCGAATTGCTCGGCATTGAACCCAAATTTCTCAATGCGACGAATGAGATGCGCAGACTGTTTGGAAATGTCGTTCTGGAAAACTTTGATCAACCAACGGATAATGGAACGGGCCGTCGTCGGGATCGCAATCGACAAATGATCGACCTTGCTCAAGCCTTGACGGGAAGATACAGTCCAGCTAGCCGAGGTCAAAGTCTGGCTGGAGTTACATTGCGACGCAATGTTCTTATGCAGGGTAAAGATGAGTGGCCTCGTGCTCCAAGTGGAGGGCTAGGCATGGAGACTGTAGAGAAGCTTCCTTCCGGGGAAACTCTCTACCGAATAGTGCACAATACGGCCTACCAAGATGTACAACGGCAGTTCGACCTCTGTGTTGAATCGATGGACCCACAGAGACTCATCGGGCACCTCCAATACAACCCTTACCATATTTCTACGCTTCTCCAAGTGTCAGAGATTGCCAAACACCAAGGCGATCATGCTGTGTCTGCTGATCTGATGGAAAGAGCCCTATTCAATATCGGACGCTCAGTACACTCTTCGTTTGCCAATCGCCTCAAGGAAGGTGAGGCCAGACTTGATTTCATGCATGCGGAGAACCGAGAGCTCTGGCTGGTTGGGTGGAGGTACATCACCAACCTAGCAATGAAGGGCACATGGAGAACCGCTTATGAATGGGCCAAGCTCTTGCTCAGTCTGGATGACAGCGATCCTTACTGCATGAGATTGCTCATCGACCACCTCGCGCTCCGAGGTAGAGAATATGCACAATTTGTGCAGCTCTGCACCCAGACACGGTTCAGTCGCGACTGGGCCAACCTCCCCAATATTCAATGCTCCCTGGTAATGGCGTACCTCCGGTTGAATAAGCCCCAAGAATGTCGCCGACAGCTGCATCTTGCCATGTCCCGCTACCCGTGGATATTCAGCAGGCTAGCACAGGAACTTGATGTTCAGCACGTCCCCAAGCAAATATGGGGCAAGATGCCTCCTACAGGCGCTCATGAGCTGCTTACCGAACTCTACATCGCCCGCGCTAAGGACCTTTGGAACACTCCCGAGGCTATTTCTCTCATTATGGAAGTCGCAGATTCTATCTCTGGCGAGGAGCCCAATGACCCACCAGAGATCACTTTGGACATCGCTCGTCATGTGGTCTTGTCCGATATAGCCAAAGTGACAACCCATCTTCCAAACCACTTTGTGGCTGGCCGACTATCATCCTCCGACCCTCTCCCTCCATATGAATCCGAAGCCTATAAACAACAATCTGAACCTACACCATTATATGCAGCCCCTGCTGGTGGTGGCGAAAATTGGCTGCAGGATCTCCTTGGCCAGATCAACCACGACGCCCGCCCTCCCAATGTCCCATCGGACGAGGAAGAGCCAATTGGTTTCGAGGATGAAGACGAGGATACAGAGCACTTCGATATCCCACACTCACGCCCACCACTCAGAGATCCGGCGGCCCTTGAAGGGTGGCTCACGCGCGAGGGTCTGCAAACTCTTCGTATTTTCCTTTCTCAATACGGAGTCGATAGAGGCAATTGGAGCGAGGTAGTTGTGGACTATGCACCTTTGACGAATTATCTAGAGGCCATGGCGGCAATCACAGAAACAGCTCGCCGACGATTGTTAGACAGCACTATCAAGGACTCTCTTGGGGATTTTGCGGTCAGCATGCTCGAGGACGAACTCGCGATTATGCGAGGAGAATAATTCAGCTTCATGATTAGCACTCTGTGTTAGTCTGGGTACATAGAAAATAATTGGATGATCCTATGTACAACAATGAGATTGTAGTAACATTTATAGCATGGCCCTGGGCTATGTTGGAAATTCCACTGAACTCAACACGTTAACTATTTTTTTCGACTTTATTGTATTGCTTAAGCACCGACTGCAAATATTCTCTTGCCCCTTGACTTCACTATCACATTTTAAATTCGAACATTGACTCGAGGGAGAGGAAGTCGAGGTCACAGACGGAGCTGCGGCTGAGAGCGAGGTCAAGAAAGACGAAATGGTGCTCGAGGTAGAATTCAAAGTCACAGACGCAGGGCTGCTAGAGAGGGACACTGACGCGGTAGAGCTTGCAGTTACTGGCGCTGAAAAAAATCCCACAGTAGTTGTATCGTAGATATAATCGATCTGCACACAATAGTACAGACCAGGGAGCATTTCACAGTCCGATCCAGTCTTGGTTATAAATTGGGGTTGACAGAGAAGCCTCAGTGAATGTTTCAACAAAGTTCAACCAGTGTTCGTCTTACCCAATTCTCAAACTCCGCCGCAGTGATACCATAGATCCCTTCATAACTCGCAGGTAGTATATTAATGTACGCGATCTAAGAACTGTAATCTTCGGTACTACCCGGGGAGCGAGTGCCGTCTGGGGTAATGAGATAGGCTGCAGCCTGCCCTAGGGCAAGGCTGAGGGCAAAAAGGACTGAGAAGGGAGACTTCATGGCATGTTCTGAAGTAGTAATGGGAGCTTCAAGATGGATAGTAGTCTAAGGGATCAATACTCTATGAATCAAACGTATTCTGCAATAGCCATGTACATCAATACCTTGGAAACCCGAAATCCTTGCAAGCACTAGCGTAAGATGTTACAAGCTCGGATTGATATCCATAGCACCCGAACACTATACAGTGGGGCCAAGCAAATGAGGAAAGGGATCGCCCATATGTATATGTACCTTTACTACGGAGTAGGCATACCATACAAAAGACTGTATGGAACTCCTTTCCCCACCTCGGAGTAAAGTGTTCGGTAAGACCCTTTCAGGCGGAACCAGATCATCACGAAAAATGAAGAACATGAGTGTACGTGCCCGACAATCAGCCAGGCCACGAGTACTCTCGCATATATTGATACCTTTGTATGACCTCTGGAGGGGGTGGACCGCCGCCCGGGCTTAGTATCACCGACGGGACGTAAGGCCAAGGATGAACTTACCCGTATAAGCTAATCTGCATTCTTTATGAAGATAATCAAGCCCCGTAAGAAGAGCACGAATGTATGTTTTAAGGAGGGGCAGTGGCATCTTTCTATCGTCGAAGCGCCGCTGATACATGGACAATGGCTCCCTCATAGGCGTATACACAAGACACGAATAAGAAACTTCTGAACCTTTAACTTCAAAAGAGTCTAAAGATGTTCGGATAAGTGAGCGGCCGCGGTATGACGGGTCTGCGGTAGAAATGGACTCTTTAACCCTACGCTTATGACCAGTGGAACTCGTATTATTATTGGCGATTCTTAGTACCACGACGCTCTCTGGCTTTTCGATATGCCTATATATTTGTTAGAGATAGAGAGAGCTTCGAATTAAACAGAAATTATTGAAGGCTACCCTTGTAAATCACGCGCGAGCTATACTATTAAAGATACGCCTAGCCAACCTTAACCAGGGTTTGGTAACGATCAGCGAGTACCTCTCTAGGCTTTACTGCGTAGAAGTACTTAGAATCGTATACCGGCGAGATCTCTTTATTAACGACTATGCCGGGCGGTAAAGGTAGCCCTAGAGAAGGCATGGGAAACGGTTTCTTTCGAAGCAAGGCGGACAAACGAGGAATGGACGGCCTTATAGTATTCATTCCAGGGTTACTTCCCGTAAGCCGACGGGAGAATGTTATATCAATAGTTGTCGAAGAAGAAGGAGATCAAGGAGCCCAGCATAGCCGGTAAACTTGATCGCGTGGCACAGTAGATAGGGTCGAGACCGCTAGGATGAACGGCCATGTTGACTGCGCCAGTCCTATTTTGATAGGCGATCTAAATGGAAAGGGTTGCATGTGATAGGATTAGCGTATCGCATTTTATTGATGTAGCTTACTTAGGCCGCGCAGCCGTATACTCAGAGCGCTCAGTGAGCAAATCAGGGTGCTCAGATAATGATTAGTAAGTGGATCGGTACTCAGGGACGCGCTCAGTTTTACTTAGTGATAAAAAAGCGACGAGAGGTGAGCACTAAAACGGAAAGGGAAAGGTCTCGAGTGCCAGATATTATCCGGTACATAACTATGTAGCACATATGTATTACCATAATGAAGTGTATCATTGGCTGTAGAAATCCCCCAATATGCTTGGCTGATGCACATCCCGCAATAATAAATTCAGTCAATTAACATGCTTCTAGTTTAAAGAGATTATTCCAGAATACACATACTTTAGTATATTAACATATGTCAAGAGATTTCCGCCAGGGCTATATGTGCTTAGACCCTTAAGGCCTGGACACGGCGGGACTCTGGCCAGGAGTAGATTGTGTCATGGCCTTATCTCCCGCGCAATTTTCTTTCACTCCAACACACATTTGTCGCAGAGCATAGACAGCATGGAACAAGGCCCTATACCTTTAACAGCCCGTGAGGCTGCATCTGGTCTCTTGGGCTCAGTCTCTATGACCTGCTGGTTTTTCCTTTTGGTATGTTTAGCAACCAGACTCGCACCTCGAAATCCAAAGTGGACACAATCCATATCTAACAATACTGTTTCAGGTACCTCAACTAATTGAGAATTATCGCAATGGCAACTCAGAGGCTATATCTCTCCTCTTCCTCTTTGTTTGGTTCGTCGGCGATGTCGCAAACCTTGCTGGTGGCCTACTAGCCGGGCTTGTGCCCGTGATCGTTGCGATCGCGGTATACTTCTGTATGGCAGACGGCGTGCTCATCGCGCAATGTTTGTACTATAAAGTGCGCAACTCGCGTCCCGAGCCTCTCCACCGCCGACGCTCGTCCACCGTCTCTGTGGAGCCGACTACCCCGTTGCTGGGGCGGCGATTCAGCGAATCTATCGCGTCGCGGCGCCGGTCGTCGGGCTCACTGCGCCGGTATCACACTGGTGGCCGGCGCGAGAGTGAGGTCGAGGATACCCTGGCCAAGATCGTCGAGGAGAATGATTATGGCCGCAAGGCATGGATCAAGAATTTTACTAGTGTTGTTGGAATTTTCCTCATTGGTGCGACTGGTTGGACCATGGCTTGGCAGACCGGGATGTGGGCGCCGGCGCCTTTGGATAATAACAATGGTTCTGAGGAGGCTGTTGGGGGGCTGCTGCTGGGGTATTTCAGCGCCGTGTGCTATCTGGGGTGAGTGTCTCCTGCCGTTATGGCTGATGAGTTGGTATTGACTTTGATTCCAGAGCGAGATTGCCTCAGATCTATAAGAACTGGAGCGAGAAGTCGTGCGAAGGTATTTTTTCACTGTCTTCACATGCACGTATCAGGCCGGTATTGACTTTGATCTAGGGTTGTCGCTCTTGTTCTTTATTCTCTCTCTTATGGGAAACCTGACTTACGGTGCAGGAGTGAGTGATACTACACGTTGTACTATAAACTGGACATAAGCTAATGGTGTTCATATAGATTCTTTGCCATTCTACAGAGAAAGAGTATTTCCTCACCAATCTTCCTTGGCTTATTGGATCGCTGGGAACTATTGTTGAGGATGCCGTCATCTTCTTCCAATTCCGGATCTACGCTGTTCAAGACCCTCATCTCTCGGCGATCTCCTAAATATTGACATTTGCTCACATTTGACTGTTTCGTCTAGAGCAATGACCTCTATATACCGTCAAATCTAAAATTTGGTTTCAAGCTCAAAAGTCTTTGGATGGAAGATGATTTGCATGCGTTCGTTGGTGATGCTGGACATCAAAAAAGTTTGGAATAGCATAGCGTTTGTTTTAATAGTGGACTGGTGACTGATGCGATATATTCACGTATGGTTGCTAGTGTCAAATCAATGTACATCAATACTAAGGGTATGTTACTCGCAATAGCGCAATCCTGGAACGACTATGATATTATGGAGGAACACAGATAGAGTGATATTCTCAAAGTCTAGGCATGTTATACTTCGTACTTTGTATCGTCGATGTGGACTCTAGTCTGCTGAGCGATGACCGCAAGGGCTTGGTGCGCTCAATGAAAGACTACCTCGAGATCGAAACACCTGAAACATATCCAACACCGGCGATCAGCGCTACAGAACTACGTCGCATGGCCTACGAACAAGTACCCCAGATAAGAATCAGACGGCCTTCGTTGTTGGTTCATGGTCGCAGACAGACGTAACACGAGGACCAAGAAAATCGAGCTGATCCATGTGGAGGGCGAGAAAACGAACCATACATCTACTCGCCAGACCAAAGCAAAACTTTGATCATGGACAAACCAAGAAGTGTGCCAAACGTCTGTCTTCAATTCCCCTAAAATCATGGAAGCAACAATAGTTTCGGAATCGCAGCGGTATCCGATCCAGTCTACCTCGGCCACATCATGACGCGGAGGCACACCGAGCACCCAGTCTCCATTGAATGTCCGTGTCCGTTTGAATTCTTTTGCTAATTTTCTTTTTTTCTTCCCCGGGTTCTAGGTCGTAGCGGGGTTCGTGGAGTATCGAGTACAATAAAGAATCGTCGAGGGAGCCGCTATGCGGCAGTGGGAAAAGAGGTTGAGGAATAGAGAAAAAAGGAAACGAGTTTTTAAATTCGATATGAAGATAAGACGCTTAGTCGAAGAGACCGAAGCCCATGTCCTCATCGGACTCCTCCTTCTCTGTAGTGGGGATTAGTACTGAGCTCAAAACCAGAGGTGTATATCAAAACTTACCCTCCTCCTTCTCCTCAGCCTTGGCCTCAGCGGGGGCGGCAGCAGCGGCACCACCAGCGGGGGCAGCGGCAGCGGGGCCAGCGGAACCGACGTTGGTCAGGAGATCCTTGATGTCCTTACCCTCGAGGGCCTGTGTTGGAAATCGAATTAGTTATCGCATCTTAAATTGTCGCGCGCGGCCATTTTCGAGTTGCTTCAATATTGGCGCGGGTTGTGGAAAGGAATCAGGTATTTACCCGGGCGAAGATGGAGGCCCAGATGGGCTCAACCTCCTGAACCTTGGCGGCAGTGATGAGAGTCTGGATCTTGTCGGCCTAAATGATGATTCAAGGTCAGTCACAGTTTTCGCATGATTGTTGTTTGATCCTAGTGGTTTCGCGGCGTCTCGTTGTGTCTCTCCCGAAGCTCAAATTCGCACAGTACATAAAGCTTCAAGTGCGATCTTCAAGCCTCCACTATCCCACCAAAATCAAGGAATTTTGGATACGTACGGAGACCTCAATACCGTCATCGGCCAAGATGAGGGCGGCGTAGGAGCAGGCGAGCTCGGCGGTAGACATGTCGACGGGTGGTGTTGACCGGACTGGGTGTCTTGAAGAGAGTTGGGGATGGGAAAGAAGAAGAGAGTAGAACGCCAATGATAGACACCCGAACCGGGCAAACGCGCCGTGTGTGGGAAAAAGCCCTCGCTTAGGGCTTGGACTAATCTGGTTTAGCTTATTCTCCTCCTCGTGACTTGGCGCTAAGCCGCAAGCGGAGCTGAGCCCAGATGACATAATGATCTAGATGACATAATCCCCCAGTAAACCGCGCGGGGCGTTTCGTATCTGCATGATCCCCCTATCAATCGATCCATTCATTAATTGACATCACATCCCGGTAGTTGTACTTGTCTTCACCTTGAAAGAAACTTGTTCTTTTATCCAACCTGTTCTCAACTTTGCTTTTTCCAACGTGCCCACTGATAATATCGCATTCTCTAACCATGGAGTCCCCCGCCATCCCGGTCCCGCTGGATCCGCGGGAGCAGCCCATCCTTGAAAACCTGCTCCGGACCCGCGACGCGCTGCTCCTAATCAAGCGGGATAAGTCCTCATATGTAAAGTCTCGCGATGTCCTACCGCTTTATGAGGAAGTGATCGCAGAAGTCGAGAAACTCAATTCCGTTCGTAAAGAGCAAGATCGCCGCTTGGTACACAATCGCCGTGAGTTTAGTAGACCTTGCGCTCGACTTGGAGGTGACTGACGTTCAATGATAGTGGATTATATCTTGGATGATTGCTTTCAGTTGATTTCCCTACTGTTCTTGACAGTTGGGAAGAACAACGAAGCTCCCGCAGTGTGAGCGATAATGTTATTACCCCGCCATCTTGTGACAGTGACTGACATTTTGCCAGATACTCCTTGGCGACTACTATCCAGGTATTGACTCCTATAATCTCCTTCGGCTCTCGTTAGCTTTGCGCGCTGGGTACTGACGATCTTGCAGCGTTTACTCGACCACCTTGAAGAGGCTGGATTTTATAGCTCGAAGGACTTGAACTCGATCACCAAGACACTAGAGTCTACACGGGAAACTCTCGAGCGTGGCCGAAACACATACTCACCCGCTCTCCTCACGCTTTTGGAAAGCCGTCTGGAACACTGTGACCAGTCACTGGCGAAGTTGCAGAAGGGTCTTGCTGTATTGGCTCCTTCCTTGGTGCAGACACACGAGACACTGGTCTCAATTCTGCGGTCTACATCAGCTGTCAACACTCGGTCAAAAGTATGGCATCGAACAATTCTATAACCCATCTGATTAGTACTAACTCACTGTTAATTGCTAGTTCTCGGCTGCGGAGGTAAATTCTCTTCGAGAACAACTGAAGAAAATTGAAAAGACGGCAAAGGACGGCAACTTTGTTGACGACGAGGGAAATGTTCTTGCCGGGCAGGAAAATGTCAAGTCTTTGATTCACAGGTGTTGGCGATGGACTGAAATTGTGCTTGAGCGGTATGTTCTAGGCTGCCAACGGGATGACAGACATCGACTGATTCAAATACAGAGAGGGCAAAATTGATGAGCGGTTCCGAGATCAATACGAACGATTGTTGGACATCCGCAACCAACTGGATCGTTTGTCTGTAACACAAGCTTGGTCGCTGCGCGAGACCGATCTCTTCGTATACCAGCGAAAGCTCGACCGAATTGACGAGGCACGGGTTAATGGAAATTTCATCGATGCTGAGGGTCAGCCGGCGGACCTGCATGCGCAGCGAGTAAGATTTTATTTTCGGGCATTCTTTGGTGGATTCTGGCTAACATGATCAGACGCTTCTATACCTCATTCGTCGCAGTTATGCATACATCTATGCGCTTTTGATTTCATCAGAGCCGGTATCTGAAGCTTTACTCCCAGTCTACAACCAACTTCAAACTCTCCGCCGGTGCTTGATTGAAGTCAAGGAGTCTGGGGGTGTTGCAAATTCACGCGAACTTTACCCATACAGCATGAAGGTATGTAACCGTCCACGCTGCTTGCGTATAAAGCTAACAAAAACAGCTCAACTCGATTGACAACATGCGAGTTGACGGGAAATTCTACGTGGGTCCAGATATCCCAGAGGGACAGGGCTGTGTCAATAATCTGCTAGCCGAATGCTACGATTTGGTTTGGGAGCTCCGTGCCGCTGTGGTTGGCGAGGAAGGAGAGTCTTAAAACAACAGGTTCTTTAGACCAATGCCTTTTTTTCTCTACCTATGTGTTTTATTTCCATCGATGTTTGTGAATTTGCGCCGATTTTGATGAAGAATTGGCCATGGAATGTCTTTGGCATACAGTGGTCTTTGATTGTATGATCAGAGTCTTACCTTGTTTTCTCTTCTTTTTCTTTATGTGACGATAGGCGTTCGAGATGGTATGGCATTGGCATTTGTCTTGGGAACGAGGGCACTTCGGTGTCCTCTGGTGGTTTTACTTCGAGTTTAATGGAATTTCCCTGTTAACGAACGATTCTTGTTTGTTGTCTCTTGCTTTCAACTAAGAAAGCACATGAAAAAGCTAATTTGGCAATCATGTTATTCTAGCTACACCTCCGATCTTTGCGAAGATAAGACAAAGCCCCACTTTAATATTTCTAGCAGAAGCACCCGCTTTACTATTCATTCCATCCCGTTCCCTTGAGCAGCCGTAGAGAATGGGGATCAAGATCTGTGAAGTCAACTTCATCCACGTCTTCCATCTCCAGAACTTCACCGTCAATCCCGTGAGCATCGAGGCAGCAACTGCATGCTGTGGTACAGTGGTCCCGGGCACGGGCCCCGTCTGTATTGACCTCAGTCCTCTCGCAGCATCCACATCCCTATGGGTTCGCCAGTTTCAGAATTTTGAGCCCTTGCTCCCGGGATGAAAGGTGTCTGTTCATGGACCCAAATCATTCGTTGGACAATCCAGCGTGTTTCAATATCAACATCAATCGGATCAAGTCATGTCTTGTGAGCCTCGTTTGATATGAGAATGATAGCACACCGCTTGGGCAAGCTTATACAAGCCCTGAAGCCGAAGTGCATTTTCAACCAATTCAGCCTCTTTATCTTCGCAAAGAGATATAATCGAGATGTGCTAGTTCTATAATCTTGCATTTACCGTCGAGGCTTAGTCTTGCGTGGTCTCTTCATAACTGGCAGGTGTTCCGAGGACTGAGAGTTGGTAGCAGATTTGAGGATTGAAAAATCATCATCTTGTAATAGCTCCGTCTCTGAAAAGGACATCGTCAACAATTTCAATAATTTCAACGACCGTTTTGGGTTGCGGCCGCTTATGGAGTTGTCATCATAACAGCTAATCTTGGATTGCAACCAGAACCAGCATAACAGCAATAATAGGAACAGCTAAAGCAATAGACAGGTTTGACATAATTGTAGCAATGTCATCCAACAAAAGAACCAGTCGGTGATTTCGCAGTGAATCCAACTTGTAAACGGCGGACCTGTGAATTACCATATGCGGTTAGTTTTGCCTTTCTGGGTTTAGCGCCCCAATACGCTGTCACGTAACCTCCCTTCAATGCTCCCGACATAAACGACCCGTCTTCGCTGCTCTTCCTCCCACTCTCTCACTCTCTCACTTTTTCATTCTTCCTACCCCTATATCTTGCACTCATCGCCGCCCCCTTCTTTTATTCTGGTCCCCACCGACTACTGCGCATTTGCTTTCAGCCCGACGCACTGCCTCTTTCATTTTTACCGGATATGCCGCTCGATCTGACATCCAGCTTGCAATGCCTATCATCTAGAAGCGTAACCACTGGGATGGTATAGCATCCTGTTCTTTCGTGTCGATAATCCTACAATAGTCAAACCTAATGAAACAAGGAACAACCCTATTGAGCCAATGGATACCACCCACAAGACTCGTTGGTTCCTGGCAGCCGTGAGGCGCGGATACTGCCAAAATTATTTGAAAGTACATGTTTGCATATGCCATGGCCTCATACATATGACCCAGGCCCTAATTATATTGGGCATGAACGAAGCTGAGACTAGCTAAAGCGACGATTATAAATGATGAAAATAAATTGTTGCGGTTATTCTACCTTTTTTGGTCAATAAAGCACACATAGGAAGCAGAGCGACCAGTCGAAGCGCACCGACAGGTAAATAGAAAGTGATAGAATGGCAATTGTTCCCATAAATAGCAAGGCAGATATTATATGGGTTATCCAGGGTTTCAAAGTAGAAACACATAGATACTAGCAGAGGTTAGTGTTGCCCTCCCTCGCGGATATGCGTGAAACCCGTCAGAATATGATTAGGAGGTGACCAGAATCAACTACACGATCAAGAAACTCGAATCTCACCACCAGAGCCATCTGGATTTCCGGAGAAGGACCATTTCTACATGAGTATGACACGCGTTAAATATTGTATATACCACGTTCCTATCATATAATCGTACATTAAATCATCAGGTTGGATTCGCATCATTGTTCACAAACGCATACATTGGGGAGGTATCATGCAGGCTTTTCTCCAGTCCAATGCGAATTCGGCCAACTCGGGCCATTTTGTCAAGCATCCGAGTGTCGACTCGTAAGACACTCTCCCGAGTGAGTCTTTATGTGGGCCAGTCACAGGAACAGAGTAGACCGCGGTGCATACCACCCTCGCTTCCACAGAGGAGCAGAGACACCGGCGGCCTCACGGCTTGAAATAGTGTTACCGTCATTGTAAACGTGTCGACCAACGTGAAAACCTTTGGTTCCTCGTACGTAGCGTAAGCACTGGAATCAACTATGCGCTTGACTTTCGGGTCTTCCGTAGGGTTTCTCCCAATACACTCTCCGTCAACCATACAGTGGCGCGATAGTTGACTGCTGTACGGAGTCCAAGCCAAACGGTTCATGTTGACTACAATAACAAGAGCTTCAATCTCGTGGGTGGGCAGGTAGCCTTCGAATCCGAAGAGCCAGGGTTGAGCAGACCAAGTTTTGCCTGCATAACGCGAGTATACCATCAAGGGAGAAAGAGCGCCAAGAAGGATAGTGATGCCCATAAAAATCCAGCCGGCTGTTTGGAATGCTTTAGATGCCGAAGTGGCGCATAAATTCCCACCATCATCTTCCACCCTGTAGTTTGACTAGCAGACAGTAAGCCTGCTGAGACGATTAACCACACAGGTGCGGCGCGCAGTGCCAAAGTTGTGATTAACCCTTCAACTGTGTTCCTATGGGTCAGGCTCACAGATTTGAATTATTTCCATCGAATAGAGGCTCCAAATGCCCCACTGAGAACAACCGAATCTCCTAGGCAGACACCGACGACTGGACAGAAGGGGTCAAAATCCCATAAATTGCGATCCCATATGTCGTCGATGACATACCATTTCTGCTTGGTTGATTTGAGAAGCAGACATATAAGCCTTTCAAGCAATTTATCGCTATCATTACTGATTGAAAGACGCGAGAAAGCTTGAAAGGCGCTGTCACTAAGATTGACTCTGGGCCTGCGTCTCAGAAGTCCCATAAAGACATATGCTATATCTGCTTCGCTTTCTTCTTTCAAGGGCCTAGTCGATAGGCACTGGAATGCAATTGTCACAAGCTCTAGAGGACTCAACATGATGGAGCCTTCGTAATGACCGACCAGTTGGCGTGAGTTTGAGGCGTCAACCCACGCCTCTGAAGGAAATTTGCTTTTGGGTTTCTGCCAAGGTTCTCCCTCGGATGTGCCGTGGGTGTAAATCAATATCGGATGCGTATTTGGCGATAGAAGGACCTCGGGAAATGCCCACATTCGCCGACCCCATTCTTTGAGAAGCTCTCGCGTGGTGTAAACCCGGGATTCATGGCCTTGACCAGGTGGTCCAACGGCATTGACGAGCGAATGTGCGCCACGTACTACATCGCTGATCCGATATACGTCGTCCGCCAGGTATTTGTCTTCAGGCATACAGCTGCATGCAAGCCAATAGACTTGAACTCCTGCACGACGAGCTGCCTTCTCCGCAATAGAATGTAGAACTTCCATGTCATCGCGCTTCTGGTCATGCGAGAATTGTATGGTTGTGTACGCAATAAAGATATACTGTAGTGTCTTTGTGTCTCTATGTTTTTTCTCCCAGTTACTGACCTTCAAGGTGTTGCTACTATATGTTTCGCGTAGGAAACACAGAAATTGCGGTCTTTCAAGACGTTCAGAGGTAGGATTGCGTTGCTCATGCGCTGGATCAGGGTTTTCTGGCAGTGTTGGACATTCATAGGGATTGCTTGAAATGGGCGTGTAGCCCCAGTAATGATATCTAAACGGCTCATATTGACCGTTGTATCTTGGCTCCCCAGCAAGATCCGTAAGAAAAAAATAGCTATTTAGCAGGTGTCAACATACTAAAGATACAATAATAAGTTAATAATATGGGAGACAAACCAAAACAAGAATTATGACAGCGCCGACTGGGTATTTGAACCGAATTTCCACTTGCGCCCTTGAGTGATTCTTTCGAATTAAGGAAGTGCTGGACGTAGCTCCACCGTGTAATGGGGTGCTTGATGTCACGTTTTTTTTTTTACTGCGAGGCCCTAAAGCCCAGAACATGACTTTCAGGATGGCGGGGATGCCATCGATAAGGATGTCTCGACGCCAGGTAACTTCACACTGGTTGTCGACTGCACGATCAGTCGTAATAGACGTCCATCGGTGGAATTTAAGAAACGGTCGTCTCTACGCCCTACCCATTTACGCCCTAAGCTGTCCCGGTGCCAAAACCGCTGTGTTGAATCGTAAATCAATTGTCTGTTAAAGTGCGGATAAGATGGCGGCGACAGAATAAACCCCAATCAGTAATTTTTCTCTCATTGTCTAAATTAAGAATGGGGCTGCGAGGTGAGATACCGTATGCGTTGGATGCTTCCCGGCGTTATAGTGGTATCTGCATTTGTTGTAGAAGACTGCTGGATCTCCAATAGCTCTATAGAGCTCTATGGGGAGACAGGCCTTGAACATTGATAGACCTTTCTCCTGAGGCTCAGAGGGTGTAAATTAGGCTGCAGCTGAAATTGCGTGCTCCAGTGTAACGATACCACAGAGTACTCCGTGTAAAGATCAACAAGATTGCTTCGTGTTCAACCATTGTACTCAGTTATCACCCCTGAAATGTGGCCAAGCGTGCGGAGTTACATTACCATACTGCAGGCAAACATGCATGTTATGTCAAAGCTGATTCGAGAAATTCAAATTCACAAGGTGTTGGAAACCTTGGAAAAAGAAAATCAAGGTCAATGGCCAAGTTCTCAGACCAAAAAAAAGAAGTGGTGCGCCGATCCTTCAGCTGAGATGTCGTATGGTCACCTGCATCTCTCGAAAGGTAGGTGAGCCGATTGCTCTTGCAACCCTGTCCGCAACCCAACGCTCAAATCCCCCCCCTCGCCATTCTCACACCGATACTCCATATGATTCCTGCTTCCCAGCCACCGAGCTCACTCCGATTTGAACAAAGATCGTCCTTGGGAACTGGTATGATTCCGAACTCGTATACTGAATTAGAAACCTTGCAGTCTGTTAGTTGCTATTTGTCTTGTTTACCTCCTGAATTTCGTTTCGCTAATGATAACAAAATTTTCAGCAGTCCGTGATACCAGGGCCATTTTCCAAAATAAGTAAGTAATTAATTAAGAAAGCGAAATGGTGACAAGCTTGCTTTAGCTTGGAAAGCAATTCATACAGAGTTCACTCTTCCTTGTTACGGCTCATTTGAATCCTCCATTGTTGCCTGGCTGGGGTGGCTCAGAGGGGTAGTTCTGCCGCATAGGTTTCCGCGGAAATTTCTCCATACCGCCTTTGCGCAATTACACCCACTATCTTCAATGATTGAACATTGCGTCTAAAGGGTGATATATAGAATATTAAATTTTACATTTAAATATGGTGGCTATTTAACAATTATGTCTAGTTAATGTTTCAAGCATGTGGGTTGAAATATATATTTTGGCGATGGGGCTGGTTCGCGGAAACTTTTGCGGTCCGACCCTTCAGAATTATAATTTAGAAAAAAAGAAATGTATAGGGTAAGGATCTGCCGCCAGGCGACCGCAAACTGACCCCTCAGATGATGGGTGTTGAGTCGAGAAGCAATCTGCACTAGAATTACGCCCCCCAGCCAACGAACTCGCAGATAGCTTCATGCGCTGTGCCGCCCTCGAACGCAATGTGTGGGGGCTGAAATGGGAGCGTGGTTATTTATTCCCCACCACTCCCGATGCCAAATTTCGAGAACAACATTCCATGACTTTCTTCAGAAATGTCAGTAAATCACTCAACAAATATCAGCTACTGGCGATGGATAGAGCCTTTAGGCAGTGAGACAACTGCTAGCCCGCCGCAACCATCCCTACCGGGAGACGAAAGTCTGCCAAAGCCTCAGGAACTAAGCCGGACTGAACTTTTGCAAAAAGATGTCAGTCAGAGGGAAAAAAACAAATGTATCATGGTAACTTGCTAATAGGTATCATATAGTTCTTGAGAAAGCCAGGTATTCATGTTATGTGAGAACCACATCTCAGTTAGATTCTACGCTTGCTTATGTATCTCAGCTTCATGCCAAAAGTGGAAGAAGGGATATTGAAGATGGCAGGGAGTGCAGATTTATGCAGGCAGTTGACTGAAAAGTTCTTCCTTCCTAACTTCTTTTTTGAAAGACTGGGCTGGAACGCAAATGGCTTGTTCGGCAGTACTGTCAATTTCTTACAAAACGACTCAGAAACGAGCTATGGTAAGAAGAAAAACGTAGAGCTTATCATAGCCACCAAAAATTGCTAACAGGAACGCTCACAAAGGGACATTTTCGCGCTTTCTTTCCAAACGAGTCAAGGGAAAGGGCGCTGAAAGGACATTGAATCCAGGGAATTCTAGTAATACAAACCCTCTCTCCACCCCTGCGCCTGATTTTGAGTACGCCTGGCACTATATGGCATTCTGTACCCTATGGCGGTCATCACTTATCAACCCTACTGGAGACAGTGGCCAAGTGAGGACGGATGGATCTACCGACGAGACCAATGTGCTACTTTGCTTCGATCTTGATGATGATATTACCCTCCGGCTAAGACGTCTGCTGCATAAAACCGATTTCAGAAACTGGAACAACGAACCCTTTCTCATGCTCAAGTATGCACTCAATATCGTGATAGAGCAGTGTGAGGATGATCTCTGGAGCTTATGTGTTAGTGCCTCCTGCGAAAGAAGAATGGCTACCATTTGTGCTTCTTCGTCTTCTTCTTTAAAGTAAAGGCAGTTAACAGAGTTCAATAGGCCTCCAACTTCGTCACTGTTGCCAATAGCAACATCTCGAAAGGCATTCTCAAGCAAACTCGGAATGAAGGCAAAGTCTTGTCCGATACCGTGTCCGCCTTAACGCTTCTATTCCTGCCGGGAACTTTCATCTCAGTAAGACCCTTATATCTAGAATTTGACCACGAGACATGCTGAAAATATTTGTAGGGATTTTTCGGAATGAATTTCTTCACACTCGACGAGAACGAAAAAACCCAGACTCTACAGTGGAAGACACATCCAAAAATCTGGATCTTCTTCGTTTGCACAATCCCCATAACCATACTCGGCTTCTTTGTTTTCATGCTGGAGTTCAACTTGCATGCTTGGATCTGGCGCATGCAAGCCCTCATAGGTGGCATTTTCTGCCGAAGCAGAACATCCGAGAATATTGACTCTGATAACTTAGGATCTTTGGAACGGTCAATAGGGCTTCCGTGGAAATTTTGGCTCTCCCGGCGTACTACTTTGCGCTCGACACCGTAACAATGTACACTTTGGTATGGTTCCTCTCTATAGAAGGGTCGACCATGTTTGATTGTTGGACAGTATAAAAGATGGCGTGAGAAATTGCACATACAATTAGCAAGAGTTCCCCGAAACATTTGAACACGTTCTCAAAGATTTTACTCGCATGACATAGAAAATCCTGGAGATGTTAAGGTCTGATCCTTTTAGGTCGGTTTATATAGATCCCGTCCTCAAGAAAGACTGTTCGCAGAAAAACGATGAAATTTACATTGGGCCAAAGAGAGACAGACATCAAGATGCCTGAAACCAGGAGAACTGTCTGATTCCGGCTGAAAGGTATTAGATTCCAAGCGAAGCCGACGGGAGTAGGAATAGAGAGGAAGAGAGAGAGATACCGATAGCTGACCTGGAGATAGCAGACGGATGGTGTATTGTGGAGGTAAATTACCGAGAATGCTCCACCATGTTTATGTTTTGTCATTAGTCAGCTGTAAGCCCCATAACGTATTTCCCAAGCGAGTCGGCCACCCCAAAACACATAGTAAATGCGATAAATTACAACATGATATTGCAACAACGGTGGTCAATATAAACTTTATCTTGTAGCCCATTACTCTCCATATGATATCTGATCACTCTAGGGAGCCTTGAGAAATTTGATATAATAGTGATTGAGATATATATATCTCCTATAGTTCAGTGATGTAATTTTCAATACCGCAATGATGCAACTTTCTGATTTATTTGAAATTGAGATATATTGCTAAGAATCCTTATCGATGACTATCGATAAGTAATGAAAGCAAGTTGAGACGTGGTTGTTGAGATATAAATGTGGAATATATTGCATTTACTATAGTGTTTTGGGGTGCGCAGCTCGTTTACCGAATACGTTAGTTAACTAGTTAGTTACAAATCATGTAAGATTAATAAATCATAACACTGACATTTATCAGCGCCTCAAAAGAGATCAATGGATAGACTATATCTAAATGGGAGTATTCTATTTGCCCCAGAAAAAAGTTTGAAGAGCAAAAGACAACAAGTAGCCCAATTTAGGCGATGTTATAAGCCCGCAAGCATTTCTTGTACAGTAAACAAACTAAGAGCGGGATAAACTTAATCCGGTTCTCAACACTCGTCTCAGTCCAACTCGCCCGTTGGATTCTCGGCTGGAACCAAAGCATGACCGTGGGAAGAATAGACCATGACTCGCTTCTGGCAGGCGAAAATCTGATGCACGAAACTCTTCAGACATACGTTGATGGCAAGATCCACCCGTTGATCAAGACCCGTGTCTGGCCTCACATTGTAGTCTGTGGCCATTATGACCGAAACGGCCCCAATGTACATATTTCGCCCACTGAGAAACGAGAAAAACGTTTCAACTGGCATCGACCAACAGCAGTGATCATCGACGACTCGACTCTGGAGGTTAGGTGTTTTCCGGGGCGAGACTACGTCCTGCATTACGCCCTCCTAGTCGCTTATTATCTCAACCTAAACTCGATTAATGCGCCTACATCAGTGATACAATATCGACTCCCTTCTTCGGAAGATTGCCTGGATCTTCTCTCGAAATCGAATTTACGGTTTATGTGTCCTGTTGATACTGTCATCCTAGGGTATGTTGATCAACTGGTCACCAATCATGATTACCCCTGGGAGACAGGGACACATGAGCCGAATCAGTTATTTGCGTGGAAGCACTTCCGTCGAGCTGACGGGAGTATCATCGCTTTTGTCGGAAGCATGATGAGCCTCTGGGGTGATATCATCGGAAATGTTGTTCGCACAATGCAAGACCAGAACAATATATCCAGCGTTCTATATGTGGGAAAGGCTGGTTCATTACGAACACAAGATATTCCAAACCAGGCCCTCGTTACTGGTGAAACAAGTCTCCTCAACAACAAAACTCTCTCTTGGAAAAGTCCACTCACGGCCACCCTATCAGCAGGGCATATGGCCCACATTTGCCAGGGGATTCATGTTACCGTTCCAAGCCCATTGGTTGAGAATGAGGATTGGCTGGCCAAGAATAAGCATAGAGCGGACTGGGTCGACTGCGAGGTCGGTTACCTGGCACAAGCCTGCCAGGAACACAATATTTTATTCGGGTATTTACACTTCATCTCAGACAACGTGGCACAAAAATACCATTACAATCTTGCAACAGAGCGTCAAGATGCTGTTATAAGTGCACGGAAGGGCATTTGGTGTGAAATCCGGCGGGTCCTTGCCCTTCATCTAGGTATAAAGGATTTGGAGGAGGGATTTTGTAAAATATAGACTAAACTCCAGGTTCAATCTCAATATCTTATGAGTGTTTGCTATTTAATGATGGAAGATATCTTTGTAATACTGGCCGCATTCAGGTAAAGCCGGTTTGATTGCTGCTCCAGACGAAGTGCAGCATAAAGTCATTAGTAGAGGTGACGATGCCTCGGAAATATTCTCAAGGGATTGGAGATCTTGACCTATCTCCTTCAATTCATTTATGCTGTCGTTCTGGTGACTTCAGCTTGAACGTATAATTTAGCTTGTATCGCCTGTCGCTGTCGCTGTCGAGCCCACTTGGCCTCGCGAACAATAGCCTCTTCTGTTCAGTAGAAACCCTAGAATAACCCTACAAGGAGCACGGTATGCTCGTAAGAATATCTTCAGATCCTGCCCAGAGTCCTTAGGGAATTTTATACCAGGGTTCCAAATACAGGCATTTTTTTGAGGCGTGTCTGGCCTCGTGCCGGCTTCTATGGACGTATTTCGCAGGCTTACTGAAGGTGGAAATGCTTTCTTGACCGTGACGACCAGGACAGTAGTGACAGCGTGGCGGAGACTTATCACATCAATCCTTGCAAGCCTTGCAAGCCTTGCAGTTGGCGCATACATTAGAAGACTTCAAAGTGAGGGCCACCGGCACGGTTAAATTGACAGCCGGCAGCGGGTGGGCGAGCATGGGCAGAGATTCGTACGGACCTGTCGGGGATCGTCGGCCGCCGCAAGTACATTTACGGTGGCGTCTAGCTGTTTCGGTGGCAATTGTGTACTAACCAGCTTGTGACTGTAACGAGATTCCATGCGTGGAAACACTGTCCGCTAAATTTCATAATTACTATGCTTCCCCCGAAACCCCCAACATTGATCACATATTTCAACATTGGGTCATGTTTGGAAAGCATCTTGCTTGTGATAAAGCGAGGTTAGAGTGATGAAGATATAGGGGGAAAGAAGGCTGCTTGTAACTTTTTGGCCATGGTGGAAAATGTACCTTTGCTGTACAGATGCAGGTGGTGAAGGATACTTAGGTGGGTGAATATCCGCCCTGAGTGCCCTGAATAGAGCGGCGAGCCGTCTACGATCCTGCAGGAGTGGCAGAGTAGGGACACATTGGAGAGTAGGGACGTACTGGACGATACATAAGGACGCACTAGATAGTAGGGACGCGCTGGAGCTGTTTGGGTGGGGCAATAAGCGCGACACAAGTTTTAGGTGCAAAATAGTGATCGTACTGGACGGTGGGCGGTAAAGCGCCCGCTCGCCCTCCAAAGTTACGGGTGGAAAGACGGCCGTTTCTGGCGCCAAAAGGGGTTATTTTCGGCGTCATTTTCACAGGTCCTCATATTCTAGTTGTAAATCTGTTAACTTCATTCCGCCTTGGGTAAATTGAAAGCATAACCCATCAGCAGCCGTAGGCTCTGATGTGTCATACAAGAGGGCTTCTTGTACTCAAAACAAAGCTCTTCCAAGTCTGGTATCTCTTCAACTAACAAGTCATCCAAGTCTTCAACCCCATGGGCCTTCATGCAGCAACTGCAGGCTGTAGTACAATGGCCTCTGGTGCCGATATGATCTTCGAATCCATCAACCGTCCGCGGCCTTTCACAGCAGCCGCAGCTCCGCCCGCAACAGCCGCCTCGTCCTGCGCAATCATCGCTCAACGAAGTAGAGAGATACCAATCTGGATAGGATCTTTGTATATTATATGCTCGACTAAATGACCAGCTCTTTATGGATTCTCGTTTGTTCCAACTCTTTCTGGAAAGAGCCCAATGACTTCTATTGAGATCCTGGAGCAGTCCTTTGTATAACTCGAGTTGTGAGGCATGTTCAGCTTCACCTTCAGAAGATAGAAGTAGATCTGATGAGGTTTCCAAGGTTTGGACTTTTTCTTGAATGCGGGCTCTTCTTTGAGCAATCCAACGCCTCTCGATATCATTTTCAATCAGTTCCTTGATCCAGCTTTCTGGCCCCCTCGGCTGTACCCCATGCCAAAAGAAACACCAATATAGCACTATGGCAAGCTGGCTGTAGCCTGCGTCTTTAAGCTGAGCTTCAACCTTCTCGGCATTTTGGCGGTGATGGTCGCTGTCATATATACGACTCGGGGCGTTCCGAATAAGAGTTTTTTTGTCGTCAATATTCAATTCGGTTGAAAGCAAGTGGACAAGAAGGTCTTCAGGCTTCTGAGCATTTTTTGTTTTATACAGCAAATCTTTCTCGGAGGATTTCTCGGGAGACTTTGCGATCTCTTGATAAGTCGGAAGTTCCTCGGAGGATTGCATCTCGCCTGCCTGAGGCTCGGTGGCTTTGTCCTTCTGGAGAATGTTGAGCTTAGCACTCATAGCGAGTAGTAGAAAACCGAACGATGCTAAAACTAGGAAAATGGTGGACATGGAAGGAGAATTCGGGAGACCGTATTCCGCCACGTATCGAGAATAAGATTTAGCCCTAAACAGGTGCAGCCGAAAGGTGGTACCGCTCTTTTTCTTTGAAGAAGAAGCAATAATGACATCTTATATGATGGCATACATGCATAGTAGCGCCAGTATGGTCACGGAGTACTCCGTAGATACAAGTTCTTTAGGGCTATTTCCCCACATAATAGAGGCCTGGATTCCGAAATCGGCGCAATCACCGGCCAATCACAGCGGATACAAATAACAACCGGACGAAAAAAAAAGGGAACATTCTTATCTTCTCCCCAGTTTCTCCCCAAACTTAACATTAGTGAAGATGGTGAGCCAGCTAGTTTGGCAGCGGGTTTCTGCCTCTCGTGGGGTATGTATACATCGAAGACAATCTCAATTGAACAATCTAACACCTTATAGATGGCCACACGGCTTTCATCACAACGGCTCTTCGCCCGTGGCCTAGCCACCGAGGCCTCCTCCTCCCGCATGCCCCCATATCCCAAGCTTGTCCGCAACCTTGAACATGTCCGCCGAGTTCTTGGCTCCGACCGCGCCCTCACCCTCGCCGAGAAGATCCTCTACGCGCATCTGGACAATGCCGAGGAGTCATTGCTCACCGGGACCAACAACGGCCGCGACATTCGAGGCAAGGCCAACCTGAAGCTGAAGCCCGACCGCGTCGCTATGCAGGATGCTTCGGCCCAGATGGCTCTGCTCCAATTCATGTCCTGCGGTCTTCCCTCCACCGCCGTCCCGGCCAGTATCCACTGCGACCATATGATTGTCGGCGAGCGTGGTGCCGATACCGATTTGCCGGCTTCAATCAAGGGTAACAGTGAGGTATTCGACTTCTTGGAGAGTGCCGCCAAGCGCTACGGTATTGAGTTCTGGCCCCCGGGTGCCGGTATCATCCACCAGAGTGTGCTAGAGAACTACGCCGCCCCTGGATTGATGATGCTCGGTACGGACAGCCACACTCCTAACGGAGGTGGTCTTGGTGCTATTGCCATCGGTGTTGGTGGTGCCGATGCGGTTGATGCGTTGGTTGATGCCCCTTGGGAGCTGAAGGCTCCTAAGGTTCTCGGTGTTCGTCTCGAGGGCAAGCTCAGCGGATGGGCTTCGCCTAAGGATATCATTCTATCCCTAGCTGGCAAGCTGACCGTTCGCGGTGGTACTGGCTACATCATTGAGTATCACGGCCCTGGTGTCGAGACCCTGAGCTGCACGGGTATGGCTACCTGCTGTAACATGGGTGCTGAGGTGGGCGCTACCACATCGATCTTCCCCTTCTCGCCTAGTATGGTTCCCTACCTGCAGTCCACCCACCGCGGTTACGTCGCAGATGCTGCTACCGAGGTTGCCTCCGCCGGCCCCTCGAGCTTGCTGCGCGCCGACACCAAGGCCGAGTATGACCAGGTGGTCACCATCAACCTATCCGAGCTCGAGCCGCACATCAACGGTCCCTTCACTCCCGACTTCTCGGTGCCGCTGTCAAAGTTTGCCGACACCGTCCGCGAGAAGAAGTGGCCCGAGACCTTCGGTGCCGGCCTCATCGGTAGCTGTACCAACTCCTCGTACGAAGACATGACCCGCGCCGAGGATCTCGTCAAGCAGGCCACTGCAGCAGGCCTCAAGCCCAAGGCGGATTTCTTCATCACCCCCGGCAGTGAACAGATCCGCGCCACTCTCGACCGCGATCAAACACTAAACACCTTCTCCGAAGCCGGCGGCATCGTCCTCGCCAACGCCTGCGGCCCCTGCATCGGCCAATGGAAGCGCACTGACGGCGTCCCCAATGGCGAAGATAACGCCATCTTCACCTCCTACAACCGCAACTTCCCCGGCCGCAACGATGGCAACCGCCGAACAATGAACTTCCTCGCCTCACCGGAACTCGTTACCGCGCTCGCCTACTCCGGCAGCACAACCTTCAACCCTATGACCGACTCCCTGACCGCACCAGACGGCTCGGCCTTCAAGTTCCAGCCCCCCAGCGGCTTCGACCTCCCCAGCGCCGGTTTCGAAGAAGGCAACCCCAACTTCCTCCCCACAGCCGCCGTCCCAGACGCAAGCAGCGAAGTCATTGTCTCACCGACCTCCGACCGCCTCGCCCTCCTCGAGCCCTTCGCCCCCTTCCCCAAGGGCGATCTCTCCGGCCTGCAGGTCCTATACAAAGTCAAGGGCCAGTGCACAACCGACACGATCTCCGCGGCAGGCCCATGGCTGAAGTACAAGGGCCACCTGCCCAACATCTCGGCGAACACCCTGATCGGCGCCGTCAACGCCGCAACCGGCGAGACGAACGTTGCCTACGACGAAGCCGGCAAGCAATACGGGATCCCGGAGCTAGCAGAGGCATGGAAGGAGCGCGGAATTTCGTGGCTCGTTGTTGCGGAGGATAACTACGGCGAGGGCTCTGCGCGTGAGCACGCTGCGCTGCAGCCGCGCTACCTCGGCGGCCGGGTTATTGTTGCTAAGAGCTTTGCCCGCATCCACGAGACGAACCTTAAGAAGCAGGGTGTTGTGCCTCTTACCTTCACAAACCGTGAGGACTATGACCGTATCGATGCTTGTGATAAGGTTGATACTGTTGGTCTT